ACCTGCTGGGCAGGAAGAGGGACCTGCTCACCTTTCCTAGGAGTGCCCGTTGCCGGCCTTCATGTGCCACTGTGTGAGGGGCACCCAGCCAGGAAGGCTGCAGTCGGGTCGGGTGCTGTGACGTGGACCCCGTGTCTGCCCGGGCTGGGGAGCGGGGCGGGTCTGTCAGGGTCTGGGGGTCCCAGAGGTCTCCTTCTGTCCCTGGGCTGGGGCAGCCACCTGTGTCGGCGACTTTATTGAGCCCACTGTGTTTTCTCCTGGGGGTCTTTAATCACATGCCGTCGTCTTGTCAGAGCTGCCCTGCCCATCCCCGTTCGCTCATGAGTCCTCCGTCTCTGCTCTGCTGTGCTCTTGCTGTGACATCTTACGTGTCATCTGCGTCGTGCCATCCCCAACCCAGCCCTCCTGGAATGGGGCACATGTGAGAGTTGGAGGATCCCCTTCCCTCCCTATCTCCCTCCTTCCCTTCCCATCTCCATCTCATCTCCTTCCTGTCTCTATCCCATCCCATTTCTATCCTGTCCCATTGATCTCATCGCATTCCCTTTCCATCCCATCTCCTTCCCATCCCATCCCCATCCCTTCGCTTTCCCATCTCCTTCCCATTTCTATCCCATCCCCATCCCATCTCCATCCCCTTCCCATTCCATCCCCTTCCCATCATCATCCCATCCCTTCCCATTCCCATCCCATTCCCATCCTGTCCCAAGAATTATTTTTTGACTGAAATTCGGCTTATTCACTGTGGTTGTTTGTTTTGGGGCCACACCTGGCACTGCTCAGGACTTCCTCCTGTCTCTGAGCTCGGGAATCACTCCTGGTGGGCGTGGGACCGTATGAGATTCCAGGGGTCCTGAGTGCAAGGCACGTGCCCTCCCCGCTGAACGGTCGCTCTGGGCCCTGCTGGTTTTCTCTTTCGGTGGTGGTGCTCTCGGCTCAGTGCTTGGGGGACCACGTGGAGCTCAAACCCCCCCGTCCATGTCGAGGCTCCCTTCCCTGAGCTCTGCGGCCCACCCCAGTGCGGCAGGGCTGACCCAGGCCACTGTGCTCCTGGCTTGACTCCTGACTCAGGGACCACAGGTGTTGTCTGGGGTTCTCCTCAGGTTCAGCTCCTTGGAGTGAGTACTGAACCAAGCAGCTGACCCGGGCCCTCTGGGCATCCCCCTGGAGGGGCTGGAGCTGCCTGTCTCTCCTGGCTCTGAGTCACCAGTAAAGCCAGAGCACCCTTATTTTTAGTGCTGTTGCTGCTGTGGGGCTGTAACCGTTAGCCAGTAAGAGACTTAAGGGAGGAGATAAACATTAATCTCCGGGCCTTCCCCTGGGCTGCCACCTCCGCATTGCTCGAAGCTATTCTGCACCTGCCTGGGCAGCCGGGGCCGAGGGTGGGGGTGCAGGGGGTGTGTGGTCAGAGCCGCGGCTTCAGGCTGGCGCGTCAGTCATCCATCAACTTCCGGTCAGTCGAGGGGCTTCAGGTTGAACAGCTCGGACCCTGTGGGCCAAGCCCCGGGACTGGGGGTGTGGAAGGACTCACATCCCCCACCAGGATCTGAGATTCCTTCCTCCGCACCCCCACTTTCCGACAGTCCCCGGGACTTGGCTGCCGGAAGGCAAGGGCCTGGTCCCGGGTCTTACGAACCTGAGGATGACCCAGATCTTTGAGCCACTGGCCTGGATTATCTGGGCGGCAGCATTAGTCTCGGCGTGTCCCACAGCCTGTCTCACAGAGTAGAACTGCAGTTAGCGGGCGCCCGTGGGAGTGAGTGCAGACGGACCTTCTCGTCCCTCACTGCTCGCTCAGACGGGCCTCACTCTGCAGTAGGTCCCTTCTCCGGGCCTCAGTTTCATCACCTGTGAGTGGGCTGCATGCAGGCTCTGTTGTTTGAGGTCGAGGTACGGGTGCAGAATTCCCCACCAAGGTACTTGGGTGTGAAGCATCTGCCTGGGTTGGAGAAGTTGGGGTGAGCTGAACTGGGCCTTGTCCCAAAGATTGGAGCCTTCCACTCGGCTCCATCGCTTGCCGTGTGCTGTTGTCCGTGAGGTAGGGACAGGGGGTGTGCAGCTCAGACCCACCAGCCCTCCGTGCAAACTGAACTCGGGGTTTTTGTTGTTATTTGGGGACCAGACCTGGTGGTGCTCAGGGCTAAGTCCTGGCAGGGCTCGGGGGACCATCTGGGGTGCTGGGGATGGAACCCACATCTGCCGCATCCAGGCACGCGCCCTGCTCTTGTTGTTGAGGGGAGGAGAGCTTGGAGCACACCCAGCCAGTACGCAGGGGCTACGCGCAGATCTGTCCCGGCATTAGGAGTTGTTCCCGACTGTTCCCAGGAACCCTGCATTGCTGGGACCGATTGTGGTCACTAGGTGCAGGGCACACGCCTTACCCTGTGCTGTCTCTCTCCGGCCCCCGCGTTCTCTTTTTGAAGGACCAGTGTCCTTGTCAGGGATGCAAGGATGCTGAACAGATCCCGTCCTTCCCGCAGTTTTGGGAAGGATGAAGCAAGAAGCCAGACCTCTGCCTGGCGCAGAGCAAATGCCTGGTGGATAATAGCTGTGACCGCGGCTGTGAGTGCTGTCGATTGGCTGTCGGTCCTGCTGGTCACTCCTCCTGTTGTTGGTGGGCTGTTCTGCTGTTGATCTGCCCTCACTTCTTGTGGAAAGTGCAGATAGGGGGCTTTGGGGGAGTCAGGAAGGAGAAGAGTGTCACTGTAGAATAGAGGAGGAGGAGGAGGCGGCGGCGGCAGCGGCAGGGGCAGCTCTGGGCTGGGTTCCTCTGTGTCCCGTGAGCAGAGAGGACGTGGGCCTCCAGGCTTCTCTTGGTCCTGCTGGGCCTCTGCCTTCCCGGGCTGCCCGTTGGATCCAGGAACTTGGAATCTGGTCGTTTCACTTCAGTGGAGCAGCTCCAGGAACTTTTTGCCAAGCTGCTGATTGCTTCAAGCAACTGGCCAGTGAGTGGGTCCTGGTTTCCGTGAAGTGGGCATGGTCCTGGCATCCACTGGGGTGTTGTGGGGGATGAACGAAAAAGAAAATAATGCATCACCCTGTGCAGAGGTTTCTTTGTTAGCTGTTACTTTGTTTTAAATACCATCTTTCCCCCTGTGTAGAAGTTTCCCTGCTAGCCGGCACTTTGATTTAAAGACCGTCTTTTCCTGGCTGTGTGAGGATGGATGAAAGATGTAGCCTGTGCCGAAGTTTCCATGTTAGCTGCTACTTTATTTCAGATACCATTTTTACTGCTGTGGCTTTCTCAGGAGGTTGGGCGGGCCAGCTCCACCCTAGCAGAGCCCTGGCAGCCCCTCCCGCACCCCAGAGCCCCACCATGCCTCTGGCCCTACTGCCCAGTTAAATATGCTGGATTTTCTAGAGCACACAGCTGCAAATGTGGCCACACAACACCTCAGCATCTCCGAGCTCTACAATACTGACAGCCTAGGAGTAGCACACCAGATTGGATGGAATGTAACATAGAAGTCAAACAATCTCGACTAACAAAAACAGAAGGCTTAACTTGTAACAACAGTTCAGTAAACCCGCAGAAGAGGACTTAATGTCCCCATGGTGAGATGCAACAATTTTCACAAATTTTCCTTGGTGATATATTTTTTGATCATTCCATTAGCCATTTAGTGGTAACAGGCAACGTAAGGGAAGTTGTTGTGGGCCTGCTCCTGGGCAGGCGTGGGTGTTTGGAAAAGAGAGACAAGGGTGAAGGGAAGGTGACGGCAGTGGTGGGATGGGTGTTGGAATGTGAACGCCTGGGACAAGCCGTTGTGAATGGTTTTGGAAACCACAGTGGCGAGATAAAGTGTGTGTAGGGGAGGAGAATAAATCTCTTCAAATCTAAAAAGATAACAATAAAAATTAATAAATAAATAAATGCCATCTTTAGGTGTCGGGGATGAATGAAAAGATGTGTCGAACATTTCAGTTGGAAATGATCAGGCTGGACAAGAACTGACTGTTGAAAGACAGTAAAGGAAGATACATGATAACCTTTCAGTGTTGGTGTCTGTATTGTAGAACCACAGTGCCAAAAAGGAGAGAGACAGGGACAGAGAGAGAGGGGAGAGGGGGAGAGGGAGCGAGAGAGGGAGGCAGGCTGAGTGGAGTTGGGGGTGGTGGGAGGGAACCTGGGGACACTGGTGCTGGGAAATGTACACTGGTGGGGGGGATGGGTGTTGGAACACTGTATGACTAAAAACCAATCACGAACAGCTTTATAATGGTCTATCTCACAGTGATTCAACTAGAAAAAAATCTTTTTTAAATAGAAAAAAAATGTTTCTACTGAGGCTCAAGAGATAGTCCAGTGGGTAAGGAACTTGCCTTGCACATGACCCTGGTTCTATCCCCAACACCCAGCTGGTTCCCAGGCCCCTCCAGAAGTAAGCCCTGAACACTACCAGATTGGGGTGGAGGTAAAGGTAAAAGGCCCTCCCGTTGATCGTCGATTTGCTCGAGCGGGCCCAGTAACGTCTCCATTGGAGACTTTGTTGTTACTGTGTCTGGCATATCGAATACTCTCGGTAGCTTGCCGGGCTCTCCGAGAGGGGCGGAGGAATCGAAGGTAGCCTAACCCTTACTCCTCCAAATATTAAGGATAAAAATACTAAAAGCAAGGGTTTCGTTCAGTTAAAGAAAAAAGCTCAGAGAAGATGTATCGCTGTGTGCAGAAGTGTCCGTGCCTGCTGCCTCTTTATCTTGAACAGCATCTTCATCACTGCATCCTGGTCGCTGCAGCAGTGCTGGGAAAGGTGCCGTGTGGTGCCTGCTCGGGAAACTTGAGTCTTGCCCCTGGGGCCCTCACCCAGCGAGCTCTGCCGTAGTGTCGTGAACCGCCGGGGAGTCAGAGCCCAGCTTGACTGGCCAAGTGTTTCCTCCTCTGGAGAAAGGGGTCCCAGGCTTTGTCCAGGCTGCTGAAGCCCCTGGGTGTGAAGGGAATCAGCTGCCAGGGGCTGCGGACAGACTGGATGGCTGATAGCTTTTCTTCCTTCTGCATTTAGATCACCAGAAGCTAGAACGTGAGGCCCGGATATGCCGACTTCTGAAACATCCCAACATTGGTAAGTGTCCGTGCACGGGGACTCGCTGAGGGCAGCGGGCAGCTGCTGTTGTGGCAGGAGCCCCTCTGGGGCCTGGGCTTGGTTCACTGTGTCTTTTCTCTTTGCCCCAGCGGGAGAAGAGTTGTGTCCTGCCCAGAGACCGGGCACCGTTATCGTGAAAGCACCTGAGTGTGTCCACCCCGCCGTGCCTCAGGGCCGAGAGTGAGGTGTCTGAGTTGGCTGTCCCTGTGTGGTGGAGCTCTGGGCTGAGCCTCTGGGCCCTCCCCAGGGGCCCTCCCATGGTGCCCGTGATTGGGTTCAAGTTTTGTGTCAGGACTTGGAGTTTTGTTATGTGCCGGTGGCTTGCACGCTCTGGGGGTTTCCATGGCACTCCTGTTTGATTTCCCAGAGCTGGGAAAGCAAAACTGGCTTCCCGTCTGGCTTCCCAGAGTGGGACTAGCAGGAGCCACTCGGATGGAGGAGGGGGAAAAAAATCCAACAGAGAAAGCAGAAGGGTTTCTCCCGGCTCTCCGTGACTTGGGGACAAGAGCACGTTGTTGGCTGTCCCACGGCCTGAGCAGCATTTTTCCTGCCACAGCCCACTCTGGCTCCGTTCTGCATTGTTCGGCTGAAAAACGCCTTTGCCAAAAGCGTTGGCCCCAATTTGGAGCTGCTTGGCGTGGACAGAAACGGGGCTCGCTGTGGCGTCGGAGCTGAGGCCCCGGTCTCGACTGCAGGCTGCCCGGCCCGAGCACCTCTGAGGCTTTCCCTGAAAGGCCTGAGTCATCACAAAGGACGACACGTGCTCCGTGCTCCTCTGGCCTGGCCTAAATAGCCCGGCTCCCATGGCACCCCGAGGCCGCCGCTCTGCTCGGCCAGTGGCCAGGCCCGGGAGGTGACAGGCTGCAGCGAGATCCTTCCTCCCCAGCCGCCCGGCCAGCTCCTGCCTGCGATGGCCGAGGTTGTCCTCTGGCCCAAGGGGAGCGGCAGCTCGGAGGTAACCAGAACTGGAGCCACGCAGGGCTTTATAGATCCTAATCAGCAGCTTGGATTACACGCGGAGCAGATTGCCACAGCCCGCCCGGTGCTGGATGTTCTCTGCAGCCAGCACCTCTCAGCTGATCTCTGCAGTAAGGCCCCCCTCCCCCCCGCATAGAGTGCGGGGTCCCCAGCCTGCAGGGGGCGGCGGGGGGGAGCCGGCTGCCATCTCCATAGCGGTCACACACCCAGGCTTGTTTCATTTGACCGGCTCTGTGGGCGGAGAACATTTGTTATGATTTGCCAATATTGGCAAGTGAGATTTCACTTTTTTGGGGGGGGCGGGGGGCAAAAAAAAAGCTCTAATCTTTCCACCCGGAAGACCTGGTTCTGTGTGTGGCTGGAAAGCTGCAGGGGCTGGTCACGGGGCCACCCACTTAGTCTGCGGCCGAGGCCCTGCCACGCCTTGGATGGCTCGGGGCCCGCACGGGCCCTGCTGGCTTGTGAACCTGTGACCTGAGCCCAGAACGTCGGGACAAGAGGGAAAAGCCCGTGGGTGGCTGCGACTCCAAGGGTATGGAAGCGTTTGTGCTCCAACGCTGGTCTCTGGCTTTGGGGCAGGGAACTTGCTCTCCTTCTGCGTCCGGGCTGACCATCATGCAGGGAGGAGCGCTGGAGGAGGCAGAAGCAGCACCTGTCCTGGCCTGCCGGACCCCCGGAGGGTCCTGGTGAAGTGGCCAGGAAAGGCGCCAGCGGGAGTCTAGTGGCCAGGAGGTGTGAGGCTGCCACTCACGTCTGTTGTAGAAATGGAATCGATGCCCGTTCGCCTTTCAGGCTTTACCTGATTTGAAGACTCTTCTCTTGGGCTGCCCGCAGTGCAGAAGTCGTGACATGGGACTTTGGCCCCGACCACCTGCTTCCTCAGGAGGAGGCTGGACCCAGGCTGTGGTCCAGCTGCATGCACGCTGTCCGCAGGTGCAGCCTCGCCCCTGCTTCCATTCCAGCACTCCTGCCAGGTCCTGAGAGTGTCTGGGGGCAGGGAAAGGGGAGGATGGGTCAGGTCTGTGCCAGGAGTGCTGGCCAGGCCAGGCTCCGACTTCCAGGAGAAATTGGGTCTCCTGAGGCGATGACGGAGCTGTGGGTGTCCACAGATCCTGGCCCAGCTCATGACAAGATCTTGGGGGTCAGTAAACCCCTGAGGACCCCTTGGGGACCCACCAAGGTGGGGGAGTGGGGGTAGAGCACCCTGCGCAGCCTCTGGCGGCTCCCAGCCTCAAGAGATACTTGAATTCTTAAGGACGTGTGATGCAAAGAGCTCTTGTTCCCCTCATAGATTGTCTTTCCCAACTGGAAGTGTGAAACCTAATGCCGACAGACTCTGGGATCTAATGAGGTGTCAGGGTTAGAGTCCCTGATTGTAGCAAATGCGCTGGGCTGGGCAGGGGTGCTTTAATGTATGAAGGGGGTGTGGGAGATCCCTATCCTCAGTTTCGTCTAAAATACATAGGGGGCCTGAGCAACAGCACAGCGGGAAGGGTGTTTGCCTTGCACGCGGCCGACCTGGGTTCGATTCCCAGCATCCCATATGGTCCCCTGAGCACCGCCAGGAGTAACTCCTTAGTGCAAGAGCAGGAGTAACCCCTGTGCATTGCCGGGTGTGACCCAAAAAGCAAATTAAATTACATACATAGAAAAAAGAAGTTCTCTAATTCAGCAGCAGGCCTGTGTGTCAGGCATTTACACTGCAGAACTGAGCGCAGCCCCGGGAGAGCTGAGTCCAGGGCCCAGAGGCCACCGTGCTAATGGCTTGCAGCCCGCCCGGAGTGTGTCCTCCCGCCCTGCCTTCCTCTAACGAGCAGGCTCTGTCCTCCGTCCCCGCTGAGCTGCCCCGGCAGTCTCCATCCCGGCCTAGCACCGTGCTTTGAGGCAGCGCATTTCAAAGGTGTCTGTGGTGCTCGCGAGTCCTGTGGAATCAGGCGAAACTTCAGGTTCTGCCACCCAAGTCAGGGCTGAGCTTGGGCCACCTCCGCCTGCCCCAGGTGCCGCCACACTGCAGCCGGGGACGCGGGCTCAGGTGCCCCCCGCTCAGGTCTGAGGGTGTCGCTCGCTGGTTTAGTAACTGCAGGCACCAGCGCTGTCTCGCCTGGCCCTGACGGTCTGTCGTCAGAGCTTCTTCATGAGATTGTTGGCAGCTGGTTCAAGCAAACAGAGGGCCTAGGAACTCGGGGAGACGATAGAAATGGAGATTACAGCTCCCAGAGCAACGGCCTTCGACCCCCACCCACAGCTTGGGCCCAAGCTGCCGCTTACTGCGGGCCCAGAGTCTGTTTCTGCAGCCAGTAAGAGCAGCACCAGCCCATCAGCAGGAAACGCAGGGGCTGGAAAGGCCACACAGCACCCGACCCTGGCCGCCTGCTCCCGGCTCAGCCGCTGCCGGATCCCTGGGATCTCCCTCCCGACACGGTCGCAGGTGCTGCTCATAATGACATTATCCCATGCTGTTTGAGAACCAGGACCTGTTAGTTTGAAAACCACGGCATATTGTGGGGCTGAGGGAGTGGAAGTGGAGGAAAGGCGCGTGTCCTGTCTGCGACTGCCTGGGTTCCAATCCCGACCCAAGCAGAGGTCACTCCCGAGCACCTCCAGGGGTAGCTTGTGGCCTTTACCGCGTGGGACATCAACACCCCTGCCCCCCGAGATTCGAAAATTTGTGGCATATTGTTGGGTGACTTGGGGGATTTTTCTGTTTTTCTTGCTGCGGCAGCCTTACCTGGTAGCGTTCAGGGACCACCACAACCCAGCTGGTGAGGTGTGGCAGGGCCACGCTTAGGCCAGGATGGAATCAAGGGCATCCCTTGAGGATCACTCCTGACCCCTTGTCGGGTGAGTTTGGTTTTAGTTTGATTTGGAGGCCGTACCTGATGATGCTCAGGGCTTATGCCTGGCCCTCTGCACAGGGATCACTCCAGACAGGCTTGGGGGTCCATCTGGGGTGCTGGGGATCGAACCTGGGTCAGCCACATGCCAGGCGAACTCTTTAACCCCTGTGCTATCTCTCTGGCCCCTGCTGGGTGGTTTTTAAAGTCCTGGGAGTAAAGGCCCTTGGGTATTGGGGTTGGTTTATGCCTCTCGCAGCTTTGAAGGAACACTGATGAGGCTGACGCTGAGATGCAGAGAATAAATGCTCTCCAGCTTGCTGACCCACAGACTGGTGTGGCTCTCCTGCCGCGCTCCCCGGGTACTGGCAGGGGGCAGACCAGAGCCTCCTTCCCTCTGGGTGCCACACTGCCCCGCGGTTCTGGTGTGGGGTTCACTCTTGTTTCTCTCTGGGTGACCCTGCCTCACCATGGGAGTGTGGCGGTCAGGCCTGCTTTGGGGAGCGCCTCCTGGGTGTGGAGTGGGTTCCCGTTGGCAGGGGCTGGGGGACGGGCCGGAGACTACCCTGGCCGGCCTTTCTGCATCTCCAGGCAGATGATGGTGTGGTTCGGCTTCAGCTCTCAGTTCTTTAATTCTTAGGTCATGTGGCCAGTGTCTCGAGCGCCCCACGCACACACCAGTGCACACGCAGGTTCAGCAGTGCACGGAGTTGTTTCTGGCTCAGGGTCTAGTGCGAAGAGATGGTTGGACAATGCTTGGCCAGTGGGCCTTGGGTCCTTCCTGTGTCCAGTCTGCCCAGGAGATGCGCAGTCAAGACTTGTCCGGATCTGAGGCCTTGGTTGATCATCCTCGCACACTGGGCTGGGGTGTGAGGATCCGGGACCTTCCCTCCCCTCTCTGCTGCGTCGCCCCAGGGCACAGAGCTCAGCAGGTCTGGGGCTGCGTGTCCTGGGAGGGACCGGTGCTGGCGACTGTCCGGGCACAGGCCTGAGGGCCTCCGCTTGCTGCCCAGTTCCCAGCCCTGCTGCCTTGGGCCGGGGGTTCCCTGGCGGGGGCAGCAAGACACACCCCTGGGCCTGAATCCTGCTGAACTGCCCGCTGCCGTCCGTCACTGCCCTAACGAAGCTGCTCTTCAGCTTCTGGGACAGCTGGTTTCCAGGGGATTATTTGTATTACACACTTTAATGCTTTTTAATAGCAAATTTTTAATTAAATGGAAAGTCCTTTTGGAAACGAGGGAGAAGCAGCTGTGGTAGGGCCCAGCGTGAGGTACCAGCTTAGACCAGAGAAGCACACGGCGGGCTGGGGGTGGTGGGACTTCGGGGGTGTCTGTTTGAGTGTGCCCAGGCTCGTTAATGGGGGACACAGGGGTCTGGCTGTGGTGCCCTCCTGTCCTGAAGACCCTCCTCTCTTCTCCCATCTGGAGAAGTGTGACTCTGTTTGTCCCGGGACAGAAACCAAATGACTGGGGCCGGAGCCATAGCACAGCGGGGAGGGCACTTGCCTTTGCACGCGGCTGACCCGGGTTCGATCTCTGGCATCTCTTATGGTCCCCTGAGTCCCGCCAGGAGTAATTCCTGAGTGCAGAGCCAGGAGTAACTCCCGAGCATCGCTGGGTGTGACCCCGCCCCCCCCCAGCCCCCAGCAAAGAAGCAACAGAAGAAAGCAAGTGCCTTGAGGAGGGACTTAGAAGTGTGGCCTGTTGGGAGGTTCCAGAGAGACTGGGTCTGGGAGGAACTTGGGGCTCAGCAGCAAAAAGGGACCAGGTGCTCAGCGTGGCCCCAACTTTGCTGCGTCGGCCCTGCACAGCGGGATCCCCTCAGGCCTGTTCCTGGGGTCCCCAGAGACTGTCTCGGGGTGGTCGGCAGCTTGCCTGGCTTATCAGGGCAGAGTCAGGCAAGTCCTCTGTACCCACATGCACACACGTGTACACAGACACACGTACTCCTGCATTCCTACACACACGCACAATCCCTTCAGTGTCCCCCCCACGCACGTGTGTACATGCACACACAGACACTGTACACATATGCGCGCTCCTGCACACACATGCACACAGACGCACATACACCTGGTTTGTGTGAGGCCGTTCCTGAAGCGCTGTGGGAGCAAAGGGCACAGGGAGCCCACGGGAGCAGAGCTGGGGGTGGAGCACGGGGGCATACCCGCATGTGTCTGTGTGCCTGTGCACACGTATGGGGAACACGAGTGTGTGTGTCTGTGTGCACAGGTGTGCACGCGCGTGCGTGTGTGTGCAGGTGCAGGTGTATATAGCTAGCCTCTGTGTGTGTGTGTGTGTGTGTGTGTGTGTGTGTTCCTGAACCCTGGGGAGGTGTGGATATGTGCGTGTTGCGTGTGTGCACAGAGGAGTGGGGAGCAGGTCTCTAACCCCTGGTGGCTGTGTGGGCAGGAGCCTACAGGGATGCCAGCAGATGCCAGCTTGGTTTCTGCTCCGGCCGACTGCTTGGCCAGGGGGGCCCTGGCCTGCCTCAGTCTGGCCTGCTGCCGTCCCGGCTGCCTTCCCAAGTGGTCCCTTGGGGTCTCTTGCCCCGTGGTGTGGCGTGTGATCCACTCCATCTGTGTTTTTCTGTTTTTGAGGGTGAGACTCCTGAGCTGCTCTTGGCAGGCCCCAGGGCCACTCCTGATGGCATTTGGTCCACCAGGTGTTTAGTGCTGGGCCCCACGTGCCGGGAATAACCACATCACGGGCCTCACCTGGTCCGGCTCCTGGCCTGCCCTCACGTTCTCATTGGAAACACAAGCGTGACCCCGTCTGGGTCCTTGGGCCAGAGCCACAGGACAGGACAGGGTGTTTGCCTGGCATGCAGCCAGCCCAGGTTCAATCCTCAGCACCGTCAACGTGATCCCTGAGCACTGAACTAGGAGTCAGCCCTGAGTACCACCGGGTGTGGCTTCTAAATCACAAACAGATCAAATTGGGTTCACAGCCTGCCCCACATTCTCTTCACCCTTTGGGAAGAGGGTCCGTTCCCCGGGCCTGACTTCCCCTTGAGAAGGTGCCATGGTGCCGGTGTGTCCCAGACTCCTGGGCAGCTCTCGGGCTGCTGAGTTCCACCACCCAGCGGAGAGTGTGATGGATGACGCTGGCTCTGCAGGCCCCCATGACCCCTGACACTGAGTACCGTCTCTGAGTACTGCTGGGGGAGGCCCAAACGAGCAAACCAGCAGACAGATAAGTCCCATCTCCGGACACTGGCCTGGCGTCAGAAAATATGAGGAAAAGGCTATGGGCTGGGATCTCAGCAGCGGGACTCCTCGCTGGCCGCACCCATCCCAGTGTCCTGCCCCCTCACATGCCCCGGCACATGCACTCTGTCCTGCCCGGGTGCCCTCGGTGGTCCTCGAACGGTGTCTGCCAACACGCAGGGTACTCAGGACCACCCTTGCCACTGTCCCCCCACAAGCCCCCCCCTGCCTCCTTGTTCTTGTCTGAAGCAGGCGGTGACCGCGGGGAGCTTGGCTGGCGGTCCCTGTGTGGCGGGGGTGTCCCAGGAGGAGAATCCCACAAAGACGGGGTGGGCTGGGGGCGTCAGGGGCTGGCGCGAGCCCTGGCTCTGCTGACTCCTGTGTCCTCTCCTGCAGTGCGTCTCCATGACAGTATTTCTGAAGAAGGGTTTCACTACCTCGTGTTTGACCTGTAAGTGCCAGGACCGGACGGTCTGGGAGGTGGGGGGGGGGGGGGCTCCCCCCGTGTGGGCCTAGGGGGAAGGTCTGGGTTTAACTTCCTGTGGTGAGAGCGGAGAGCAAGGGGTGCCCCTCCCCTGCCCCCCAGCTCCGGACCTCTGCCCCCCTGCCTCAGCTCCCACCTTCGCCTCCCGCTGCAGGCCTGGGCCTCGCTTTCGTCCTGCTCCTGGCACTGTCCCTAGTAGGGAAGCTGACTGCCGGTCAGCGTGTCCGTTGAAATCCCGGAAAGGCGAAGGGAGCTTTTATGAGTCACAAAATGGGCCCCCAGCGGTCTCTCCTCCCCAGTGCCTGTGGCTTAATGCCGCCCGAGTGGTTCTCCGCCTCCCGGGAGGGCTCTCTGCCTCTTCCGAGGGGCTCTCTGCCTTCTCGATCCTGTTAGCCCTCCACTTCACACGCTGCTCTGGCAGCCGCCTGTCTCCACGTCTATCTGAGTGCAGGCAAGGGGCTTCCCGGGGTCCCCTGCACCTGCATCTTGGCCTGAGTTGCTAATTGGTGCGTCAGGTGGGCTCGAGGCAGCCAGGAGACCCCCAAACCTTGAGACAGAGCCCGCGCTGGGCTCCTCGGTGAGCTCGGAAGCTCTTCCCCCGGGCCGGTCCCGGCCTCCGCTGAGCCTCTGCACCTGGTTCTTGCAGGGTAACTGGCGGGGAGCTGTTCGAAGACATCGTGGCCAGAGAGTACTACAGCGAGGCCGATGCCAGGTGAGGCTGGGGCCTCGGGTTCAGGCGTGAGTCTTGGCTCTGCATCTATTTGAATCCCTGGGGAGGAGCACGAGTGCGCTCGTCTGTATAGAGATTCTGCAAATCTGGACTGGGGGTGGGGAGAGGCCTTCTGTGGCCAGGATCATGAGTCAGAAGTGATAGTACAGCAGATAAGGCGTTTGCCGTGCACACAGCCAATCCTGGTGTGATCCTGGCACCCCATATGGTTCCTCGCCAGGAGTGATCCCTGAGCCGGACCAGGAGTAAGCCCCGAGCGCCGCTGGGTGTGACTCGCAATAAATAAAGAATTCCCAGATAAAAAGTTGTTCTGCAGAGGCCAGGGCGATAGTGCAGTGGGTGGGGCAAGGTGCCTTGCATGCAGCAGACGCAGGTTGGATCCCCAGCGCCACGTCTGGTCGCGTGGTCCCTCCAGCCTGCCAGGAGGAATAAGCCCCAAGCGCAGCGGGGTGTTGCTCAAAATAAAACGTATTTTTTCAGTGTTCTTACAAGTGCCCCTTCATTTTGCCCCAGAAATGGCCTTTTCACTCCTCACTAGCGCCTGCAAGGGCCCTTCTGCCTCCTTGGGACAGACACCCTGCTGTGTGTGGCATGGCAGCTGGGGGAGAGCTGGCGAGAACTGGAGGAGGGTCCTGCAGGAGCAGACCCGTGTGGGCCCCTGATCCAGCAGAGCCTCCTCACGGCGCTTGGCCTGCAGTAGTTGAGCGGTGGCCGCTGAGGCTCCGTCCCTGCCGGTCACCCTCCTTCTCTGCAGCTCTCTTGGCCCGGCCTTCCCGCCTCAGCACCTCCCGCGGTCCCCGGCCTCCTCTCGGGGTGACGTGTCCTGTCACCCCGCTTTTCCTCCTCCACCTGCGGCTCCTCCAGCGTGAGGTGGCGGTGCTGGCTGGCTCTGGCGAGCCGGAGTACGGCTCCCTCGCTGATTTCCCAACCCCGGGACGCCAGTGTTTGCTGATCCACTTCAGATGCTCCGGCCTGGGGAGGAATGTCCAAGTGGGGCGCTGGATTCCAGTGCCGGCAGGGGAGGACGGGGCTGAGGGAGCCTGGCAGGGAGGAGGGAGAGCGCGGGTGACTGAACCAGTGGGCTTGGCCCGGCACTGCTGGGACACTTCGCACTTTTGCCATTTTTGGCCAGAAGGTTCTCCCTGCGAGCCGGGCTCGTTCTAATTATACATTTCTGTGGAGACTCGCCTCTTGAGCTCAGTCGCAGAGGCTCGTTGGCCAGCTGTGGGGCTGGGTCCCCAAGGGAGGCCTAGTGACCATCCCCGACCCGCGCTCACCACCAAGTGCCCAGCGCCGCTTGGAGCCTGTCGGGGGTGGGGGGGTGCTGGACGGTTTGAGACCACCTGTGGGGGCTTTCACAGACGAGGGCTCCAGCTGGGCCCACGTTGCTGCTCTTCAGGCCGGAGCATCTGGGTCGTCTTTTAGTTTGGTGGTCGCCTCCCCAAACCCAACACGGGAAAGCTTGGGCAGGAGCCCTGGCCGCTTCCCCTGGCAGACCACCAGCACCCACCCCCGCAGTTGGCATCACCTGCAGTGTCTCCCGGGCGTAAAATTATTCCCATTTTTTCCTTTCTTGGTTTCGGGCCACACCCAGCGGTGCTCAGACCTTACTCCTGGCTCTGTACTTGGGGATCACTCCTGGCGGGGCTCTGTGGACTTTATGGGTTGCCAGAAATCAAACCTGGGTCTGTTTGGCTTAAGGCAGGTGCCCTAACCACTGTGTTCTCTCACTCCGGCCCCTGCTCCTCCTCATCTTTCACTGCTCTCGAGAACCAGCCTTTGGGCTGCAGAGTATGATTCCGGCAAGGCAGAGGGCCTGAGGCAGGAAGCAACAGTCAGAACTGGGTCTGAGTTGGTCTTTCCCAGTAGAAAATCCTTTCAGGACAGGTTGATTCCTGCCTCGGGCACACGGCAGAGGTTAGTGGAGGGTCTTGGTTTCCTTGATGTCTCTCACAAGCCTCTTCTCCAGGAACGTGTGTGTGCACACGCGCGCAGCTGTCTGTGTGTCTCTGTGCTGGGGATGGGGGGGAAGAGAGAGAAAGAAGGTGTGGGATGGTGTTTCTCAGAAGTCTGGAAACAGACTGGAGGTGTCACACCTCTGCAGCCCACGGGTGTGTGGCCGGCTCAGTTCTAACTGCAGGAAGCACTGGAGAAATCACTTACCCTGCTTGTGCCTCCGTTTCCTCCTCTGTTGGACCCTTGGATTCCCGAGTCTGCGGCTCTAGCATGCTCCGTGATTCTCTGAGTACTTGCCGCCTCAAGGTTCAGGGTTTTGTCTGCAGTACGCGTTGTGGAGGCAGTTTAACCCTGCGCTGACGTCTCTCTTCCTTTTGCGCCTGCAGCCACTGTATACATCAGATTCTGGAGAGTGTTAACCACATCCACCAGCATGACATCGTCCACCGGGACCTCAAGGTACGCGCGCCCCTGGCTCCCCCCATGCGCCTCCAGTTTGTGGATCGTTGGCGCCACCTGGTGTCGGTTGCTGGTACTGCGAGGGCCCACCTGGGCTTACTGGCCGGTGCCTCACTGGGGTCCTCCCTCTCCCTTGTGCAGCCCGAGAACCTGCTGCTGGCAAGTAAATGCAAGGGTGCTGCTGTCAAACTGGCTGACTTCGGCCTGGCCATTGAAGTGCAGGGAGAGCAACAGGCTTGGTTTGGTAAGGGCGCCCTGTCTTCCTGCAATGCCGCCCCACCCTTCCTCCTCGTCCGTCCGGATCTGCCTTCCTCTCTCAGAACCGGAAGCCAGGCCCAAATGGTCCTGGCCTGCTGGGAAAGAGACCGAAGGCGGGGAGGATGCGGAGCTCCCCTGGGCCCTGGCCCCGTGTGCCCTGGGGGTCATGAGCCTAGCTGCTGTCTGTGCTGTCCTCCCTGCCCCAGGGGAGAGGGGGTCTGCGTGGGCGTGCAGGCTGGCCCTCGGAATGCCCTGTGCTGAGTGCGCAGTCCGCAGGGCAGCGGGCGCAAGAGGCGGCAGGGGTGAGGCGGGGAAGGGACTGCTGTGGACTCCAGGAGCGAGAAAGTGGGTTCAGTGCGCCTCTGCCCTCTCTTCTGCAGGCTTTGCTGGCACCCCAGGTTACTTGTCCCCCGAGGTCTTGAGGAAAGATCCCTATGGAAAACCTGTGGATATCTGGGCCTGCGGTAAGCCCACTCCACACCCAGCTTTGCGGTGATCAGGGCCCCCAGCTTCCAGGGATGGCGAGAAAGGAAGCGGCATTGATCCTCCTGGTGTGTAGATCCTCCACGGCTCGACTGCCGTGGCCCAGGGCTGCTCTTTCCCATCACACCCTCCTCCCGACTGAGGTGCTTCCTCCGCTCAGTCGTGTCCGTGTCCTTTTTATTTTTGGTTTGGGGGCCACACCTGGTGGTGCTCAGGGTTTATCCTGGCCCGGTATCCACACTCAGGGATCCCTCCTGGTGGGCTCAGGGAACCCTTTGGGATGCCAGAGATCGAACCTGGGTTGGCTACATGCAAGGCAGCCCCTTACCCACTTACGATTCCTCCAGCCCCCACTGTCACGTCCTTCTCAAGGAGGGTTTGTCCACACTTTGGAGAACAGGAGGCACCTGAGGAGTGTCTGCTAAGCCAGGGTGACGAAAGCAGAGCAGCCTGGGAGGGCACGGTGCCCGCTCCTGCCTCCGAGCCCTGGGGGGCTGACTCCTGACTCCTCGGGGAGTTGCCGACTGACCGCAGTGACCTGGATTCTGTTCTCCTAGGGGTCATCCTGTACATCCTTCTCGTGGGTTACCCCCCCTTCTGGGATGAGGATCAGCACAAGCTCTACCAGCAGATCAAGGCCGGAGCCTATGATGTAAGGACCTGGTCTGAGCTCCGTCCTCCGGGCGAGCTTTGAGAGCTGGGGGTGGGCATGCTGCTCTCAATTCTGCCATCCCGTGTCCCCAGGGAGCAATGCGGCGATGCTCAGGGGTACTCCTGCCTTGTTGGGGTGCTAGGGATCAAGGCCAGCACCCTCCCTGCTCTGTTACCTGTTTCCTCCTGGAAGAGTTGGAAGATGGCGGCATCCGCTTCCTATGCCGTGCTGATGTCCTGGCCTTGCTAATTGTGCTATTCCTGTCCCCCAGTGCCTGCACCAGCCCCGTCAAGTCGGCGCAGACGTAGGGGTCCCCCAGGGCTTCTCCCGCTCCACTGGGGAGAGTTCAGCCACCTCCAAGGTGCTGGGGCAGAGGTAGAGCCTGTGTGGGGGGCAAGAAGTGACTCAGCCCACCCCCCCTCTGTTCCTGCTCCCTAGTTCCCGTCCCCCGAGTGGGACACGGTGACTCCGGAAGCCAAGAACTTGATCAATCAGATGCTGACCATCAACCCTGCCAAGCGCATCACCGCCGACCAGGCTCTCAAGCACCCTTGGGTCTGCGTAAGTGTCACGGAGATGATGGTGTCGCCTTCTGCGGAGGCGTCCGGCTCTCCCTCACTCTTAAATCCAGGTGACGTTGGCCTATCGGACTGTGATTCTGGGTCTGTCATCTCTTGCTGCTTCAGATGTTCGTCACCACTCCATGGCGACCAGCCAGTCGCCAGCATTGTGCCACCATGGCTCATTAGGTCTCAGTTACTTCCTTTCATGAGAGAACAGGAACCGAGGGCCGAAGTGGGGAAAAGCATTTGCCTTGCACGAGGCCAACCCAGATTCGATCCCCAGCATCCCATAGGGTCCCCCAAGTCCACCAGGAGTAATTTCTGAGAGCAGAGCCAGGGGTAACCCCTGAGCGTTGTTGGGTGTGGCCCCCCCAAAACCAAAGCAAACCCAGATCATCCTCCTGGACTCCTAGCGAGTTGGTAGGTTCCTTGCAGAGGGACGGTGGCCGCTGTCTGTGGCATCGTGAGACTTGGTTCTGTTCTGGGAGGGGGCCCAGGGCACCGAGGCACTCGTAGGGCAGCGTCGATGGCAGGCAAAGCCTAAGGGGAGCTGGCAGCGGGCACCCTCCTCTCTGCACTTAGTCCTTGCAGTGAGACCAGGTGGAAGGGGAGCTTCATTGTCGCTGTGCTTGGAACTGATGTGGCTCGACACAGTTTTCCTGTGAGGTTCTGCCAAGCTACAATCTCCAGCAGGGAGGAAGACCTGCCGCTCAGCCCCTGGATTGAACCCCCCCCCCACACACACACACCCCACACGCGGTTCCTCTGTCCTTCTCAAGCTTAGTAAAAGCCACTTTGATGCTGGCCCCCTGTGAGTCTGCTGGAGGCACAGAGATGAATGAGGCAGCAACCTTCCCCTGCGGGCATATCTAAGTGACAGACACTCCAGGCTGTGTCTGAGCACACAGGAAATCCTCCTGTCCCAGGTGAGCAGTGTGGTGCCTAAGGGCTGCACAGAGGAGGTAACGTCTGTTGTGTTTTGTTTCTTTTCTTTTTTCCTTTTGGGTCACACCCGTTGATGCACAGGGGTTACTCCTGGCTCTGCACTCAGGGATTACTCCTGGTGGTTCTCAGGGGACCATGTGGGATGCTGGGAATCGAACCTGGGTCAGCCCAAGGCAAATGCCCTACCAGCTCTGCTATCGCTCCAGCCCCAACTTCTGTTTTTGTTGTTTTTTGGTTTGGGGGCCACACCTGGCGGTGTTCAGGGGTTACTACTGACTCTGTGCTCAGCGGTCACCCTGGCAGACTTGAGGGACCCTATGGGTGTCGAGGATTGAACCAGGGTTGGTCACACGTAAGGCAAATGTGGGAGAGTGGGTACACAGGGATAGCACCTGTTACACTATCCCTCTGGCCCCGAGGAAGTGACTTCTGACCTAGTTCTTGGCCTGAGTGTCCTGGAGATCATGTGAGGGCGCCGGTCAGTGTGGTCCAGGGCCATAGGAAATTGTGGTGAGTCTAAGAAACACGAAATAGTTCAGCCATAGATGAAGATAAGATACAGTGTTCTGGAGCAGTGGTCCAGCAGGTGGGTGCAGGCCTCCTCTGCAGCCCTGAGTGCAGATCCAGGAGTGAGCCCTGAGTACCGCCGGGTGTGGCCCCCAAACAGAGCAGCCGGAGTATCAGTATCAGACTGGAGTGAAAGGTGGTGTGATAAAGAAATTGTCCCTCTGAGTTTGGATTTTCCTCTGAAAGCGTAGGGAAGCATTTCAGGGTTTTAAAGGAGTGAAGTTCGCAGTTAAGGACAGTCACTCGGGAAACTGTAGAAAATGGAGCTGAAGCGGTTAGCGTCTGGAGGCAGCGACTCCGGAAGCTGCTGTAATTGTCCGAGCGTGAGCAGATGAGGCCGTCCACACACATGGGCTTGCTTCTGTGCTGGTCGGACACACTGTGGGCGTCTGTGGCTTCACTCAAAGCAGAAATGGCTACCGAGCGGCAGTGCTTAATGACGGGGGTGGGGGGATGCAGGAAGCAGCGGAGGGGACAGAATGAGAACCATCCTGAGGGGAAGCAGAGCGGAGGCGCCTAGGAAACGGGGGTCATTAAGGAAGCCTCTGCGATCAGAGGCCGTGGAACCCCTGTAAGGGTGGAAAAGAATCTTCTGCTCCGGCCAATTTGAGGTCCTGGTTCACCGAGCAAGTCAGTGGTGTGAAAGGAGTTTGAAGGACATAGGAAGGAATGGGGTGGGGGGCAGGGGCAGGGCAGTGATGGGAGTAGGAAATGGTACTATTGTTTTATTTGTTTTGGGGCCACGTCCGGTGAGGCTCAGGGGTTACTCCTGGCTCTGCACTCAAGAATCACTCCTGGCGGTGCTCAGAAGGTTAGGGGTGCATATGGGGTCCTGGGATTAAGCCCAGGTCAGCCTCGTGCAAGGCAAGCGCCCTGCCCACTGTACTATCTCTCTGGCCCTAGATGTGACACTATTTAAATATTTATTTGTTTTGTGTTTTTGGTTCACACCGAGTAATGCTCAGGGGATACTCCTGGCTCTGCACTCCGAAATGACTCCTGGGGGTGCTGGGCAGGGGTGGGGGTTGGGGGGGACCATATGGGATGCCAGGGTCTGCCTGCATGCAAGGCAGACATCTTTCTTACCCACTGTACTCTCTCTCCAGCCCCAGGTGTGGTACTATTTCAAGACCAGGGATTGGGGAACCGGAGCAAGAGTACAGTAGGGAGGGTGCTTGCCTTGCATGTAGCTAGCCCAGATTTAATCCCCGGCATCCCGTTTGATCCCCTGAACCTTGCCTGAACCCTGCCTGGGAGTGACCCCTGGGTGCAGAGCCAGGAGTCGGCCCCAACTCCTGCCATTATACCCCCACAATAAAAAAAAAGAGGTTTAACATATTGGGTAATTAAGGAAACAAAGGTGATTAAGCTTTGGCTGGCTTGAAGAGAAGGAGGTTCTGCACCCCAGGCTCCTGGGGGAAGAAGCCCTAAGACCAAGGTTGGGGATCGGCTCTCGGGTGCAGCCTGGAGCTGACGTTCTTGGGGAGACAGGAGACGCTCATTTGTCTCTGTGAGAACTTCTGCTTTGGAGGAGGGGGACGCAGGAGACTCGGGGCTGTTTGGATTGTTGCTTAGCAACCAGGGAAGAAAGTGGGCAAGGACAGGGGAGGGTTGTGACCAGCGCCTGCGATTGTGGGTCCAGACTACAAGTTGGAAGGTTTAATTTTTTTTAGCAGGCTGGCTAAGGAGGGATATGAAAGTGGTCACTCAAGAATGAGAAATGGGTGGGGAAAAAAGAAGTTGGGAAATAGCACCTGAGAGATAGTGTAGAGGTTAGGGCACTTTGCATACAGCTGACCCAGGTTCGATTTCCGGCACCGCAAGTCGTCCCCTGAACCCTGCCAGGGAGTGATTCCCTGAGCACAGAACCAGGAGTAGCTCCTCGGTGCCATCATGTGTGGTCCAAACATTCCCTCCACCAAAAAAAAAAAAAAAAAAAAGGAAAAGAAACAAAGAAAGAATTTGGAGACATGTTTCAGACTGGGAGCGTGGCTCAGCGGAATGACAGGCACGCACATATGTCCTGTGTGTCTCAGTAGCCCCGAGGACATCCATGTGTTATGATGCTATTTATTAATTGATGCTTGTATTGATGGGGCTGGAGTGATAACGCAGCCGACCCGGGCCGACACCGGTTTGATTCTTCTGCCCCTTTTGAGCCCGGCATGCTACCGAGAGTATCTCGCCCGCACAGCAGAGCCTGGCAAGCTCCCTGCGACGTATTCGATATGCCAAACACAGTAACAACAAGTCTCACAATTTGTTGTGAGACGTTACTGGTGCCCGCTCCAGCAAATAGATGAACAACGGGAGGACAGTGCTCTACAGGGCAGTGCTTGTATTGATGACCCTCAGTCATCAAAGAAGTGTACACCATGTCCACTGGACATGGTGTAAGGAAGAAGTCAGTGGTGATACGTTGGAGGGAACTGCACAAGACAGGCGGGTCCTGCAGGGCACGGCTCCCCGCGTCCGGAGCTCAGCTTCATTCGGGAGCTGCGGCCTGTTGCACCGAGCCCTCTCGAGCTCTGCAGGTGCTCAGCTGGGGCGGGGGGTGGGGCGGGTGTTGCCAGAGGGCCCCATCTCCCGGACACACTCTCCCATCCCGACTTCTGCTCCCCAGAGGAGTCGTGAGCGGTCCTGTACCCCGCGACCAGCTCTGGCCGCGGGTGACGTGCTCATCTCTAGCTCTATCCTGTGGCCTTGAGTCGCTCTGGATGTATTTTTGGATCTAGGATCCATTTTCTCTCCTTGGGAGCCATGCCGCAGTGACCAAGCGTAAGACCGTTGGTGCCGGGTCAGGGGCTGAGGAGGTGTCCAGGGCCTCACGGCTTTGTCCGTTCGTGTCCCCTCCAGCAACGGTCCACAGTGGCGTCCATGATGCACCGCCAGGAGACGGTGGAGTGCCTGCGCAAGTTCAACGCGCGGAGAAAACTGAAGGTGAGTCTTCCCTCCCGGGCCGCTGGACCCTCAAAGCAGGCGTTAGGGGGTCTGCGTGGTAGGACAGCAAGTGAGGGGTTTGCCCTGTGCACAGCCAACCCCGGTTCCATCCCTGGTGTCCCCTGTGGTCCCCGAGCGCTGCCAGGAATGATCTCTGAGCGCCAAGAGTGAGCCCTGAGCTCCACCAAGTGTAGCCCCCCAAAACCCAAATAAAATCAGGCTGTAGGCGTGAGCCCCGCCTGGCCGGGGGCTGAGTGGGAAGGCCGTACCCGGTGGCTTCGGGCTCTCGGCGCCCGGCTCTGCCGCTGTCACAGCGCTTCCTCTCTCCCCAGGGTGCCATCCTCACCACCATGCTCGTCTCCAGGAACTTCTCAGGTATGTTTTCCAGGCGTGCACTTGAGTCTGCCCAGGTGAGTGGGTCCGATGGGGGCATCGCCCTCTGGGCCCTGCCAGCACGATGGAGGGTGTGCAGGGGGGTTTTCAGGCACCCGAGGCCTATTTCGAGGGGCGCAGCTGCGGCTTCGGGATGGGCTTTCGGCCTGAGTTCACACTGACGAGTTCCGCGCCCTCGAACCTCTCCAGACGCAGCCCGCCCAGCCTCCCTTTGGATTCTTCTTGGGTGCTCTGAAGACTCTCAGCCCTGGAGGATTCGAGGCCGTTTCTAGGGCGCGGGGGAGAGAGACAGGCCGTGGAGCGGCTCTGCTCAGTGGCTGCTGTCAGTCTGTCCCTGCGCGTTCTCTCCTTGACCGTTCACGTGGCCTGAGCAGTAGGGGTTATTCCAGATGCCCAGACCCTAGGCAGCGACTGCCTCGATGCTGTGACGTCGAGACTGAGAGTGAAGCAGATGGCAGAACGAGGGGAGGGACTCGCTCACATTCGCACGGGCAGTCGGGGGCGTTGGGGTGCCGCCATCCGTCCACCATTGGACTTGACCCTTCTTTTTACGATGCAAGACACTCCACCTGCCCCTCCCCATCCTCTCCATTGTTGTTTGCCCTCAGTTGGGAAGTGCAGTGACTTTCCGTGAGAGAGTCTCAGCAGTTCGTAACCAGAGAGAGAGGTTTCTTCCCAGCTTGCCTGTCCCTGGGTCTCCGTCCCTCTAACCCGCAGCTGTTTTGGTTCAAGCCCCCCCCCCCCCATTCTCCTAACCAGACCCCCTCCCTGCTTTCCTCCTGCACTGCCGTGGACGGGGGGCTTGTGCGGGAGCGCTTGGGCAGACATGGCTCCCTTGCGCTTTGAGCACTCACAGCTCGTCCGTCCGTCCGTCCGTCCATGCTGGTTCCAGGTAACCCCGAGGTGGCCCTGGGGGAGAGGACTTGGGGTCCGGGTGAGAGCCAGGACAGTGTCCCACCTCACACCCACGTGTCCGAGCCCGGCGGGTCGCGGGCACCCCTGGGCAGTGAGCCCAGGTCCCTCCCACGCTGCGAGCGGCGCGGTGGCATCTGGCTACTGTGTCAGAGCTGTGAGGCCCTGACGACGCTTCTGCCTCAGTTCCCGAGTGTTTCTGAGGACTCGCGGCCCGCGGCGTGGCCAGGAGCCGTGTCTCTGCTCCGAGGGGGCTGCTTCTCTCCCTCGGGCCGGGAGGTTTTTGGTTTTTGATGTTGGTTTTTGTTTCCGCCTGGGAAATGTGCCTCAAACGCAGGTCTCCGGCCTTCACCTCGGCCTCCTCATGGTCCTGGTTCAGGAATGGGCATCTGTGTGAGGAACTGCCCTGAAGTCCCTTCTCTCCAGGCCCCTGCGGCCATCCCAGGGTGGCCCCTTCCAGTGCTCGGTCAGAGAAAAACGGGCTGTCTCCAGGCGCCTCGCGAAGGCCGTGGGTGCAGTCAGGGAGAAGCCCCTTTCCTCAGGGGGCCGCTTGGCTGCTCTCCGGATCGGGCCCAGGTTGGGGGTCCTGCCAGCCCCGTCCGCAGACGTGTTGGCGCGTCTTCTCCCGGGGAGGGGGACCCCGTTCCTCAGCATCGTCCCCCTGAGAAGCGCGCGTGGTGCCGGACCAGGGGGAGAGCCGCGTGCTGTCTCCGAGGCTGGGGGACACGGCCTGTCCGTGAGCTTCGCCGCTCCCAGGGGACGGGACCGTCCTCGGCTCGGGCTGGCCGGGGAAGACGGGGCAGGAGAGCCGCGCCCTAGTTCCCTCCGAGCCCCGGCGTCCCCTCCGGCTCGCCTGCTCCTGGCCCCGGCCGCCTCGCTCCCGCTGCTTGGCGGGCTGTGGCTGGGCGCCGGGCGGGCTTGCTGCTGCTTGGCGGCGCTGTGCACTGAGACTGTGTCCCCTCAGTTGGCAGGCAGAGCTCCGCCCCCGCCTCGCCTGCCGCGAGCGCCGCCGGCCTGGCCGGGCAAGGTACGTGGCATGAGACCTCCCCGCCCGCCTGTGCCAGTCCCCGCCGCATGCCAGCCCCCTCACAGGGAGGCGAGTCCCGTGCTTGCGGGCTGACGGGGCATGCCGCACGGACCACCTAACGGCATCTGCGAGCACACGGTGTCCCGAGCCCCCGCCCCTAACCAGCCGTGCATGCTGGGCGCCTGCCGGCTCTCGGGCACAGGAGCTGGGGACGAAGGGCTGGGCGGAGGGAGTCTCCTCAGGCCCCCGAGCCTGCGCTGCCAGACGGTGTGTCCCCCCCCCACACGAGCCCCGGGGGGTCAGTGCTCAGGCCAAGCCTCGGCAGGAGGCCACGGCCCTCAGAAGGATGGTACCTGGCGCCAGAGCTGGCGGCCCTGAGCTTGCATCCAGCAAATGCCCCCCCCCCCCCCAGCTCTCCTGGCCCCCGAGGGCCAGCAAGCGCCTCTAGCCACCCTGCCTGGCACAGCCAGCTCGTTTCCTGGAAGCTGGCAAAAAAGAAAAAGAAAGAAAGAAAGAAAGAAAGAGAAAGAAAGAAAGAAAAAGAAAGAAAGCCCTAGCGTTAGTCAGGACCCCACGCCAGTCTCCCGAGGGCACGCGGCAGAGGCGTTTTTGTTATTGTCGCTGGGGTATTTTTTTTCTCTTCCCAAGTGGCTTTAAAGGAGAGCCGAGTGCAGAATTGGGTGCTCCGCTCACTTCCCACAGGAGGTGGCAGGCACTGTCGTAACCCGACGGGGTACGTGCATCTCACGTCCACTCCTCTCAACCGGAGCTAAGACCATTCGGGGGCGGGGGGCGGGGGCAGGGACAGGGCTCCCCACCCCTGTCACCTGGGGGAGATGGCACCCAGCCTGCACAGGAAAGGCCCCTCGAAGGGGAGCGTGGCAGCAGAGTCGGGATGACACTAACTCTGAGCACTTGCTGTGTGCTGAGCACTGTGCTTGGTGCCCCTCCTGCATGACCCCACGGACGTCCCGCACTCCTCTCTAACCGAGGCCGGCCCCATTCCACCCCATTTGGTAGCTAGGAATTAACTGAGGTTCAGAGGTTCAGCAATTCACTGAAGTCACACAGCTAGCAGGCAGGGGAACCAAGGCACCGGCCCTGCGAAGGAAGCCCGCGGGGATGAGGCATTTGGGCGGGTCGCGCTGCCCCGTGTGTTCCCTGCTCCCCCACCGGCTGTCTCCCATCGCCCTGCGGCCTCTGTGCCGGCAGGCGCCACAGTGACCCTGCACGGAGCTGCCCCTGTGCCTGTTTGAACACCTCTGGCGGCTAGGACGCTGTAAGCCTGGGAAGGGCTGCCTCTTGGCGGGACCCTCCCGCAAGGTGGTCTTGGTCTGTCTGTGTCGTCTGTCTTCACGCCTGGTCTCCTTCGTGCACTGTGACATTCTTGTCTCTTGAGAACACTCGGAGATGTCTTGCATCCTTCCAGCTTGGCCGTCCTGAGACCCTCCGTGGCATCTCGGGAGGGAGCGCGCCCCTCCCCCCGCCCCTGTCCCCCGGCGGCTGCGTCTGGACACGTGGTCGCCTCCTCGTCAGCACACTGTGTCCCTGTTTCTGCTCAGTCCGGTTCAGTCTTGGGGGGCGGCGGGGTGGGGAGTGCCCTGCAGGTTCAGTGCTGCTTCAGATGTCTTTCTTGCTTTGTGGGGGCCACTGGGAAGGGCCTCTTCCTGGGGCTGCAGGAGACTGCGCCCCTGTCTCAGCCCTCGGACAGCCGGCTCTGCCGTCCAGCCAGACTTCAGGTTGGGGAGAGGGCTCCCTGCAAGAGGCTTGATTTTCTTCTTTGTTTCCACAGCTGCCAAAAGCCTATTGAATAAGAAGTCCGATGGTGGCGTCAAGGTAGGCGGCCCTGCCCCCACCCCCTCCCCGCACCCCTGCAGTCCCACCTTCGCCTCTTGACACCCTGTTCTTCCCACCTTCCCTGGGCACCTTCCGTCCTTGCTTCTCTGCTTGAATCCAGAGACCTTTGTGTGTGGAGGAGCAGGTTTCTCTGGCCTACAGGGCAGAAGGGGGTTGGGTGCTTCCGGGCCCAGTCTCGGAGTCCAGTTCTAGCCGACCCGAACTTGAGTCCCAGCCTCACTGGGGAACGAGTCAGGAAAGGGATCCAAATCCGACCCTAAAACTGACTTTCCGAAAAGGGGTCTCATCTCCAGATCTTGGCTCTCAGTGGGGGAGGGGGATACGGTGGCTTTTGATTTTTTTTTTTTTTGGTCATTTTTCCCATTCTTCACTTTTCAAAGCCCAGACCCATTTTAGCAAATGAAAACCATGGTTGCCTGTTGCACTCAGGGTGCAGGGCCCTGAGGCACTGCCCTTTTAGGTCTTTGTTTCCTTAAAGCTTTTCTACAGCCCAGCCCCGGAACCACTGAGTCAAGTCTAGAACTTTCTCTGGCCTCGACTCCTCTGAAACAAACCAGGAGCGTGGTCTCGCGTCTCCTTCCCTCAGTGTGTATGTGGGGGGTTGACCCCTGAGCCACACAAGCCAGAGGAGGGGGCACAGGGGCTCTTGGGGCACCTGGCCAAGGCCGAGAAGCGGTCGTCTGGGGTCCCCAGGAAGCCCAAGGCGTAGAGGTCACAGAAAGGGTTCTGGGCGGGGACATTAGAAGGGAGGCCAGGCCCTTTTGAATCCTGCTAATTTATACCACAGAGTGTCGAGCTACGAAGTGACCCACCGTGACGGCTCCACCAGAGCTGACGTGGGCCCGCACAGCATCTTGTGTCCGCAGCTGAGAGACCCGTGCGCCGCCCTCTCCCTCCTTGTTCCCGTTCTCTGCATGCCCGCTTTGTGTGCTGCTGGCCCCCAGGAGGGGCGCTTGGCCTCCATGCACGCCTGCTGACAAGGAGCTAGCTGGGGGTGGGTGGGAGCCCCCCAATTTCAAGGACCCAAATGCGAGGGGTGAAGCCAGCTTAGAAGGAGAGGCAGGTGTCACTGGAGTGAGATCGTGCTTCTGTCTGGAGAAGATGGTGACTCTGTCTTTAGGAGGGATTTCCTAAATCCACACATGCCCTTCCTGTGCCCTGGAGGCGGTGCCTGAAACTAGGTGGTCCCAAACCGCCCGGCACCACAGACACAGACCTAGAGCGATTCGGAGAGAGCACAGCAGGTGATCAATCAGGTCCGAGCCCCAGCGTCCCCTACAGTCCCCCAAGCACCACCAGGAGTCATCCCTGAGTGCACAGCCATGAGCCATGAGCACACCCCCCAGGTGTGACTCCCAAACAAACAGGCTGGTGAGACAAAGTCTGACTTGGAAGCAACAGTGATTCTGTGCAAGTGGTAATGTCACGTGAATGTGGGTGGGCTCACTCTCCCTCCGTTTCCTGTTGGACCTCATGCTTTCTTCCCGGTTGCCCTCAGTCACCGAAACCATGGATAAGGTTTGTACCTGCAGAGCCCGTGCAGCCCTCGCTTCTCTAGGGCCTCACAGGAAGAATGAGGTGGCGCAGGTTTCTGGCTTAGGACGCCACAAGGCTGTCTGAAGGGGAGATGGGGCCCTCTTGGAAGCAGCTAAGAGCAGTCTGTGGTCTGAGTCCCAGCCAGGACTGTGCAGCCCGGTGGTCCATCCTACCAGCTGCCTACCTGAGTTCTAGAAGCTCCAGGGGAAACGTCTCATTGAAGAGTGCTTAGAGGTCGCGGGGAGATTGGGACCATGTCGGGGGTGCCCTGAGAGAGGGCACCGGTGGCAAGGAGGTGTGGGCACGCGCCTTCTGTTCTCGTTTGACAGTGAGAATGTGAGCTTCCCCCGCTGAGACATCATGGGCTCTTCTGTTAGACATCTGACAGTCTCTGTTGGCTGAGAAGGGAGCGGGCTGTAAGAGGGGTATCAGGATGACCGCTGGGTCGGTCTGGCTAGACTGCGGGGAAGCCCTGGGGCCACTCCACAGGCAAGTTCTAATATGAGGAATGTTTCCAAAAGACGTGGCAAGGGGTAGACTGGGGGCGTTGGAATTAGACACCGAGGAACCAGTATCACGTGTCAGTGTGATGCCGTCCAGTGTTGGGGAAAGAGAAGGTGATCTGGACTAGCATGGGGAATATTCCAAAGGCTCCACCTCCCAAAGAGGCCAGGGATGCACTGGTCAGGGTCAAGGCTGCCACAGGCTGCTGCCTGGGAGGAGAGAACCACCCGGAGGAAGTCACGCTGGACGTGGAGACTTAGGGATTCACCCAAGATCACGTCAAGGTTTCTTGAACGTTCAAAGGGTTGGCGGTACTTAGGCTAGAGGTTGTGTTTCTGTGGGAAAGAGGTTTTGTTTTGACCGCACGGAGATGCAGGTGAAAAATGAAGATGCCGGAAAGCTTGGCATAGCTCAGGGAGCCCCCAGCACTGGACATGCTGGGGGCTGGGGGCTGGTCACTGTGTTCATGTGCGCACCCAGTTCTGAGCCTCAGGAAGATGGTGACATGAGCCACTGTTGAGAAACAGAGAAAGCCTCCATGCTGGTTCCAGAGCAAAGCAGGCACTGGGCTGCAGAGAAATCAGCATCGACTTAGAACAGAAGCCCCCCCGCCCCACCCCCGCTGAGTTCAGAGGGCTAGTTAGCCCGTCAAAATTAAGACTGGGGGCTGGAGGACTCGTACCGCAGGGAAGGTGCCTGCTCGCACACAGCCAACCCCAGTTCATTTCCAGCACAGCCTGTTGTTGCTCGGGCCCCACCAGCAGTGGTCCCTGAGCACAGAGCCAGGAGTAAGCCCCGAACACTGCTAGGTATGACTCACCTCCCACAAAAGAACTCTGTGAGACCAGAGAGACGCTGCGCCAGTGGGCGGAGTTGCACCTGGCACTGCATGGTCTCCCAGGCAGCACTGGGAAGGACGCTGCATGTACAGTCCCCCCCCCCCCCCCCCAAAAAAAATAGATGGTTGTTTGGCCAGGCTGAAAAGGGCAGAGGTGAGGAGGAATGTTCCCAGTAGGGAGAATCACGCAGGAGAAGATGCATGGTTTGAAACAGCAGGTTGTCGGGCTGGTAGAGCTCGCACCTTAGGCCCCCGCCACCGCGTATGGCTCTCCGAACACCATCAGAGGCGACCCAGGAGTAAGCCCTGAGCACAGCAGGGTGAGGCTCCAAAGCTAAAAGGAGTGCACAGAAGCAGCACAGTGGTTCTGGGCATGCATGGCTTCTGCATGGTGACCTGACACAGTTCAGTGCCCATGAGGCAGCGAGAGACGGCGGGGTGCTGGGAGGAGGGGACGATTGGGGTCCTTCAAGAGACTTATAGCAGAAACTTGCAGATGCCGGCCCAGGGCTGTGTGAGGCACAGCTGTGTGAGATAGTTAAGGAGCTGGGTAAGAAACTCCAGGTTGAACTGGGGAGGAGGAAGCTCAGTGGGCTTGGGTTGCGTTCTCTGAATGCAGGCATCTTGAGCTCAGCCCCCTATACCACATGGTCCCCCAGCACTGAGTCAGGAGTCGAGCACTGCCAGGCGTAACCCCTGTTATAAAAACAGCAGAGGGCTAGAAAGATAATAAAGTGCGTAGGAACTTGCCTTGTGCACCACTCACCCAGGTTCAATCCCTTGCGCTCCATGTGGTTCCTGCATCCCTAATAGGAGTGACCCCTGAGCACCGCTGGGTATGGCTGAAAACAAAACAAAAAGCCCAGTGGGGGCTAGAGAGATAATCCAGCGGATAGGATGCTTGCCCAGCGTGCAGCCAACCCTGGTTCCCAAAGCCCAGCCAGGAGTCATCCCTGAGTGCAGAGCCAGGAGTCATCCCTGAGCACTGCAGGGTGTAGCACAATAAATAAATAATAAAAACAGGGGCCAGAGAGATATAGCACAGAGGGTAAAGCACTTGCCTTGCAGGTTGCGTTCTATCCCCGAAACTCCATGTGGTCCCCCAAGCATGGCTAAGAGTGATCCTTGATCACAGAGCCAGAAGTAAACCTTGAGCACCACCAGGTCTGGCGCAAAATCAACAAAATATTCAGATTCTAGCACTCAGCCTGGAGAGGCAGGATATAAGTGTTACCCCCACCCTCCATATTATTTAACATGATGTCTTAAGACATCATGTTTTAACATATTATTTAACATGATGTCTTAAGACTCTAGTAAAGGCAAAATCTCTGGGAAGGACTTCAGCCGAGGAAACGGAAAAAGAACGAAGAGGAAGGAAACGAACAGAAATAAGAACATCAGAACTTCCACAAGGGCTGAGAAGGATTGAGCTGGGCAGGCAGCCTCAGGAGCAGGAGCGTATGTGGGGAACTCATCCAGTGCCTTCCCTGATTCATGCTCCGTAATGCACCTTAATGCTTGAACAAGCAAGGCCCCGAGCCATGGAACTAGACTGGAAGATGTAAATGTTTGTGAAAGGCATGAACCACCAAAACTCAAAGGTCCACAGGAGACATTGGAGGAAATAGTTCCAGGCATGGCGTGAGGGTGCAATAAAGGTTACACCAGAGCTTTCTCTCGTAAATAAGATAAGCACACTGCGTGAGACGAGTCGATAAATCAAAGAAGATAAACTGAGGATGTGGAAAAGAGGAAACAGGAGTAGTTTGCAGCTGTGGGTAACCGCTCACCAGTGTGGGGAGTGCAGGCTACAGTAGGGCACTGGCCGTGACCCTGAGGCTTCTGTTGGCGGGGTGAATTGGAATGGAGCTCTCCTGCCGTTATTACCCGTTAGCTCTTCTTCTGGGAACTTACCCAAAGGAAATCTTAGAAAATATGGCGAAACCGAAATAAGCAGAAAGTTGTTCAGCGTGACGTTATTTATGGCTGTGAAAAGGTTGGAGATAGTCTCAAAAGCCAACAAGCAAAAGGTTAAGTAACTGAGCAGCCCATGTAATCGATCATAATAAAGTCACTGATTTTCATGACTAGTGAGAGAAATGTTTTCTGTTACGTGAAGAAAAGTGGGATACCAGACAGTTTGAATTTTGTCTAAAATTTTATTTTATATATGTAGGTATATAGTATGGTGTATTGCGTGAATTACGTGGTTACATGATTATGTGAATTATAAGAAAATCCACTGTACTGCTGGTAGCAACTTTACTGGGATGTGGAATTGAGGAAACTTCCACGTTTTCCTGCATTTTTTACTTTTTTTTTTCCATCTAGATTGTGTATTACTAAAACTTCAAATTCTTATTTTCAAAGTAAGGCACAATCTTGTATGTAGTTTATCATGAGGTTTGTAAACTTCGTAAGGCAGAAAGGTGGGCAGTGGTGATAAGGTTCCAGGTGCTTCTTCCCTCTCTTTCAGCTGCCTTGCAGGTCGCTACAGGGGAGTGGGCATAGGAGAATGAACGGTGTCCTAGGGCGGGTGGGCTGTCTCTGGAGGAGGGAAGGAGTGGCACAGTGCTGCCGCTGACCTGTGTTCTGGAAGAGAGGCCTGAGCTTTTGGCTTCCTGGACACTTAGTTCAGCCCCTTCTTCCTTTCCAGACGCCTTTCCCCCTAGCCCCTGTGCTGACCATGTGTTCTCCCTCCCTATCTGAAAGCTTCCTGAGGGTCCTCCACTAGGACAAGGGGCTTGAACAAGGAGTCTTGGTCTGTGTTCTTGAAATCCATGCCTGTGGCTTCTGGCTCTGTGTCTGTGAAGGCAGGTGCATTGTCACAGGGTCTGTGGCCGTGTGAGACACAGTTTGAAGGGCTACAAAAATTTGATCCCAGGAGGCCACTAACAGGGCAGTTTGTGCAGAATGCTGGTTGCTGCCAGGGTGACCAACTGTTCATTAATACAAATGGTGGGGCTGGAGTGATAGCACAGTGGGTAGGGCGTTTGCCTTGCACACAGCCAGCCTGGGTTCGATTCCCAGCATCCCATAAGGTCCCCTAAACACCGCCAGGAGTAATTCCTGAGTGCACAAGCCAGGAGTAACCCCTGTGCAACACCGGGTGTGACCCAAAAAGTAAAAACAAACAAGCGGAAGGAAAAATAGGGAGATTGTTGTTATTTCCTGTATTCTTTGCCTTATCCAGAGTGCTCTGGATCTGTTCCTGGCTCTGCTCAGGGCATACGTGGTGCTGGGCATTGAACCCAGACCTCCTGCCTACAGGGCACACACTCAGTACGTTGACTTTGCTCTCCCGCCTCTCATTTAACTGTGAAAAGGAGGCGTGATGCTTCTTCTGATTTACATTAAAAATAAATAAAAATGAGATACCAAGCCAGAGAGTTAGTACAGCAGGTAAGGCGTTTGCCTTCCACGCAGCCAACTTGAGTTCGATCCCCAGCATCCCATATGGCCTCCCAAACACATATGTGCTCCCTGAGCACAGAGCCAGAAGGAAGCCCTGAGTTTCACCAGGTTCTGGCCCCAAACCTCTTCCCACCAAAAATAAAATTTAAAAATGAAAAACAAGATACGGTTCTTCCCCCAAATGACCCAGGTCCGAGCTGTGCGTGGCTGCCGTCTCACCCTGAAGGGGGTGGGGTGAGGAAGTGGAACTGGTAGCAGGACCGTGAGTCGAACAGACCTTCTTGGGCTCCCGTGTAAGACACACTAGGAAACGGAGCTGTTGTTCCCCAGGAAGGCACAGCCCAGGCCTCACGAGGACCCTCACCTGGGGGTGCCTGAAAGTCCCTACAATTAGGACTGTCTTGGTCAGCACCCCAAACTGGCCTCTACGGGAGCATGGGCCAGCTCGAAACCTATGCTCTGCAGGGGTGAAAAACCAGTAGGTGCAGGAGGTGCATACTGACTTTCACGCGTTTTGCAGGCTCTGTAAGATCAGCTGTTTCCTCTCAAAGCTCCTTCTTAGATGCATCCCTTCTTAGGATGCAGAGATAAGGGCCTGGGGGCTGCAAGTCAACTTCCGCTTTTTGAGGAATAATCTTGGAAGTAAAATCTCATCTCATGTTGCAGCTGGAGCGATAGCACAGCCGGTAGGGTGTTGGCCTTGCACACGGCCGACCCAGGTTCGAATCCCAGCATCCCATATGGTCCTCTGAGCACCACCAGGAGTGGCCCCTGAGCATCGCTGGGTGTGACCCAAAAAGCAAAAAAAAAAAATCTCATCTCACGTTTAAGACCAAGGAGAGCTAATTATATGTCTGCTATTCTTTTTCTTTAAACTGAGTTCTAAAATTTGGGCTTTGAACACTTAGAATGCCCTTTTGAGCATACCGTGTCTGGGGAATGTCTGCTAAGGTGAAATGAGGGCAGGAACGTGGATCTCACCTATTGTCGGTGCCAAGAAAAACTCTCAATAAGTATTTGTTGAATATTGTTTCATAGGGTTTGTTTTTGTTTGGTGGGGGGAAGGCTGTTTTTTGGCTGCATCACAGTGCTGAAGGATTACTCCCAGCTCTGTGCTCGGGGATTGAACCAGGCTAGCTGCATGCAAGGCCAGCACCATAGGCTCCATGCTCTGTTCGGCCCAGCCTGTTTGAGACTGTTAGTAAACAGGCAGTGGTCCACAGAATACAGGCACCTTCCTCCGGGACCCATAGATATCTCCCAGTGAATCACTGTAAAATTTTTAATCACCTTTTGCTTTTTGGACACAATCTTTTTCCTTGTGAGGTTGCTATGCGATGCGATTTTTACTTTTGTGCTCTTGTTTCACCTCCAAACATAAAAGTTGCCAGCGTAGGTGTCCAGTTGAGGTGAAGGAATTGTCGCGTTCGGCATTGTCGCAGTTGACAGAATTGAATCCCTCCCCTCTGTTTCCCACTAATCGCAAAGTGCAGTGAAACAGTGAAGTCTTAGAAACGAGCGAGCCCAGGCCAACAAACAAAGGGATGCCCAAATCTAGCTGTCAGGTGCGTTTCAGACTCCTCACATCTTTATCTCAGAAGCAGGGCCCAGTGCCTGGGCGGTCTGCGTTCGGAAGTCAGTGCGAGGAGAGCTGGGAGCAGCCTGGAGCGCTGCTCCGTTTCCCTGGCAGCTGCCTAGGAGTGAGGGAGCGCGGATGACCAGGATAACCGTGAGATGTGCTGCTCTGTGGGCGGAGCCACGCGTGTGCGGCGATGCTTCCTGACTAGATTTGTCCCTTAATCTCTCTAGCAGTTTTCTCTGAGCACTGACTCAGAACCGGCTCGGTGGGTGCTTGGGAAGCTGCCCGCCGCGGGGCCCGGAGGGAACTCGCTGCTGTTGGAACCCTTCTCGGGCTGGACTCCAGAGCTCCCTCTTCCGCTCTTGGCGCGGAGCCCACGCTGGTGCGCTAACCTGCAGCGTCTCTGTGCTTCTCTTCTTACCTCTTTCCCCTTCTCTTTCCCTTTTGCTGTGATGTGTCCAGAAAAGGAAGTCGAGTTCCAGCGTGCACCTAATGGTGAGCCTTGCCTGCCCACCCATCGCCCACTCCATGCTGCCTGCGCCCGCCTGCCGGCCACGCAAACTCATGCTGCCATGTGCGTGTGCTCCACTCATCCTCACTGCATGTCTGTGCTGTGTGGGCAGGTGCGGCCCGGCCTGCCAGGCGGGGGCCATTGCCCGAGGTCACCCGGTGACCTTCGAAAACAAAAACAAACGAGAAGGGCATTGGAACGTGCACATGGCACCCCTGCCACCAAGTGTGAACTGCCCTCAGCTGGGCAGGAAGTGAAGCTGGCAGGAACTCAGGGCCAGAGGGCAAGCGCCGGCGTGACCGTCCCTCGCTGTGGAGCACCTGTGGGCATCCAGTGGGCAGAGGTGCTGGCTGGAGGGTCGGGGCTGAGGACGTGCATCCTGACCTTTCTGCTGTGCCAGTGCCCGAGGCTCCATCCTACCTACCCAGGGGAGCAGCTGTGGCATCACAGCAGGGGCCTTTGGGTCATGGGACACAGCGGCTGAAACCGTTGTGAAGCCTGTGGAGCTCAGCCAGCGCCAGCCTGGCCCTCTGCAAATTAGGGCAGGTTTCCCAGGCCCCTTGTTGTCTGCTGGGGTCTCTGTCCCTTCGGGGCTTTGCAGGCGGGATAGCCTGCGGTCAGCCTTGGACGGGAGGTCCATGTCAGCCCAGAGGGTTCTGCTCCGTCCTGGGGCCGGGGAATGCGGGTGTGCAGAGTCACGTGTGGTTTTACTGAACTCAGCAACCTATGACTTCTGGGTGTCTCTGTCCAGCATTCCCAGAGACCGGTAGCTCTCGTGCCGGACCTGAGGTTGCACATCCAGCCCTTGCTTGTGGGGGGTGTCAGCCGTCAAGAGGAAGCGGATGGTGGAGGGTTTCAGGATGAGGCCTCCAGACCAGTGGATAGGCTTTCTGTGTCCTCAGCAACACCAGGATGCCCCCTCACCTGTTGAGGGGCTGGCGGGTCTTCGGGCCTCTGGAGTGGAAGAGGACAGTGGTCAGGGGATTGTAAGTGGCAGATGGTGACAACTCCTTGGGCTGATGAGAGCCTTCCTCCTCCCTCACCGTCCTCCACCCACTGTGCTCCCGGGATCACACAACCCCAGCTCTCCCTGCCGTTCACAGTGTGGGCCTGGGCGAGCGTCCTGGGGTCCTGGTAGTGAGCCGGCAGCCACACCTCTCCTGGGACCCCGCCGCTCCTCGTTGGGGTCCTGCCCTGGCTCGTCAGGCACAGGCCTGCCCCATCCCTGAAGCCGCTGGGTCCATTTGGTACCTTCGTGGTGGGAGTCCGCCCCTTGTCTCTGGACACTGTCTCCTCGGCCAGGCTCTTCCTTTCTTCTTTCTTTCCTGATGAAGCTGGAGTTTGAAGGGAGAGGACATGCAGGTGACAGGTTGGAAGGGCAACAGGGGTCCGAGAGATGGGGACCCAGGGTTTCTACGTGCTGTTCTGCTTTCTTGGAAATCTCCCCCAATTCTTTCGGGTGGTAAATGAGGGTGCAGCAGCTCGGCCCCTGGCGTAAGTGGCGAGTTGTGGAGAGATGCTTCGACCCGAGTCTGAGGAGTGGATCCCCCCGAGGACCCTCCCGACTCCTCCTCTGAGGGTCCCCTCCGCCCATCATCTCCCCCCTTGCTCCCGTCTTTAGCCCGATGGAGCCAGGCCCCGGCCAAGGGAGGTCTGGGAGTCTGACCCGCGCAGCCTCAGGGCTCTCGAGGAACTAAACCATCTGTTTTCTTGTCTCAGCCACAGAGCAACAACAAAAACAGTCTCGTAAGCCCAGTCCAAGAGCCCGCGCCCTTGCAGACGGCCATGGTACCTCCTGACTACGGCTTCCTCGCCCGCCCCTGGCTGCTCCTGCTCCTCCCCGCCCTCCTCTTGCCCTGCGTCTGGGCGTCTCTCGCCCTCATTGCCCTGCTTGGCAGTGTGCTCCTTCCTGCATGACAGCTGCTCCCCTCCTCGCTGTGGGGCTGGGGAAGCGGGTTCAGGGCTGGCAGAGCTCCCTAGCCCCAGGTTGGGCCCCTGGGCTGGGTCCACGGGGGGTGGGGGGGGGGCAGGGGGGAGGACGTTGAGTTCTTGGAAAAGGAGAGCGCCGGAGGGAGACGTCTTGGGTCGTCTCCATGTGTTCTCAGAGGCCACCAGTAATCCCTGCCTCAGCCTCTCTGTCCTGGCCATACTAGGAGCAGCAAGGAGGGCGGGGGTCCCCCACCTCTGTGCTGAGAGGCCTGTAGGTTTCCAGAGCATCTGCACTGCTGGTGCTGACTTCTGTGGGGGCTCACCCGGGCCGTCTGATCTCTGAGCTCCCTCTGCTCGTGGTGGCTCACTGCTTGGGAGCAGGGGGACGGCCAGGGGCGAGGGGCTCATGGCTCTGCCATTCCTCCTTCCTGCTGCCCCCCCTGCTCCCGGATGTGGTGCCTTAAGGACAGGAAGTCTGGGGGAGGCAGGCAGCTCGTAGGTCTTGCTTGCTGAGGGGGCCCCCTTGGGTGTTCCGGGGAGACCTTCGTTCACACTCGCTGCGTCCCTGCCTCTCACACACCCCCTGATGAACACTGTCGGCAGGGGCCAGCCTGTGCCCTCAGCCTGCGTTGCCCCCTGGGGAACGTGCGCGCAGAACTCGCAGGGGGAGGGCCCGCCGGGGCCATAGCACAGCGGGAAGGCGCTTGCATTGCATGCAGCTGACCCGGGTTCCATCCCGGCACCACATATGGTCCCCTTGAGCGTGGAGCCAGGAGTGAGCCCTGGGCACCACCAGGTGTGGGTTCCATCCCCCCCAAAACCAAGCTGGCAGGATGAGGGGCACAGACTCTGTCCCCTTGGCTTCCCCAGTGACCTGTTTCCATTAAGTGCCCGCTTGTCCGCACCCAGAACCATCTGAGGTGTCTGGGGCATCTGAGGTGTCCGGAGCCCAGTTGAGCCAGGGTGTCTGTGGGAACCGACGGCTGGGGGCCGGCCTCAGTGATCATCGTCGGGTGTATGAAGTGCTGGGCTAGCGGCTGGGGGCCCTCAGGGAGGAGCTGTCAGCACGACCCCAGGGCAGGAGATAACTGTCATCTTCTCTCACAGGAACCCCAAACCACAGTGGTCCACAATGCTACAGACGGAATCAAGGTGAGTGACGCTGAGCCCGCTGGGTCACAGGGCCCAGGGGCCTGCAGCCACCGGAACTGGGGGACTGCTTGCCTGTCCACTCCCTACAGGGCCTTATTCTTTAGCGAACTTGACTTCAGGCTCTAGAGCCAGACAGATCCGGTGAGAACCCCAGGCCACCACTCAAGCTTCTGCCACTCTGTGTCCCGGTTTCCTTATTTGGAAGTTGGAAGTAACGGTTGAACCTTCCTCCGTGAATTATGGCGTTTGAAAGAGAGTAAACCCTAGGCAGAAAGGCCGGGAAGAGGGAACTAGACCCCAGCACCTTCACTGGCCTCACACCTTTGTCCCCTCAGTCCCCTTGTGATCTTTATTACACTGCCATGGAAACAGACATATTGGGTCCTAAACCATCCACTTTTACAGGGGTGACAAGACAAAAATCACTCTCCACAGGTATGTGTGAGAGGTTAAAAAAAAAGTGCCTAATCAGTAACATACAGTCCAGTAGCGGCGAGTACAGGAAGAAGATGGTGAGAGAGCAGTACACGCCTTGAGCTAAGGCTTAGGACAGGGCTTCTCGCTGGAGGTGAGATTTGAATTGAAAACGAAACAGCAGGGGCTGGAGAGAGAGCACGGCCAGTAGGGCGCTTGCCTTGCACGCGGCCAACCTGGGTTCGATTCCCAGCATCCCATATGGTCCTCTGAGCACCGCCAAAAGTAACTCCTAAGTGCAGAGCCAGGAGTAACACCTGCGCATCGCTGAGGGTGACCCAAAAAGCAAAAGCAAAAAGGAAAAAGAAAAAGAGACAGCAGGAAGGAAACAGCCAGCTAGATCCAGAGCAGAAAACCCACAACCACCAGTGTGGATGGAGTGAAAGGAATGAACAGAATATTTCTAGCAGGCGTGGGCTGGAGAGAGCTCAGAGGGCTGAGCTTGGGTTTTGCAGATAAGGGGCCCAAGTTTGATTCCCGGCATTGCTCGGGCCTCTGAGAATTGCCAGGTATGACCAGAGTTGAGCATGGCGGGCAGTGGGGGAGTGGGGCCAGGAAAGGAAGCTAGGGGAGTGAGCCAGCCTTGCAGTGTAGGACCTTCTGTTCCAGCAGTGCCCCGAAACTACTGGAGCTTCTTAGCAGAATGATCAAATCTGCTTTGCACTCTAAAAAGTTGCTCTGGGTTCTGGGCACAGACCACGGGGAGCGAGCACGCGTGAAGCCGGCCATGCCTGGGAGGCTGTTGGAACCCAGGTAGGGAGTGTTGGTAGTTGCGCACTGAGGGGAAGAGCTGTAGGATTGCTGGGGCTGGAGCAAGTAGAGTAGGTAGGATGCTTGCTTGCACGCAGCCCATCCCCGACATGCTCAGCCCCTGAGCCCTTCCAGGTGTGATTCCCAGAGCACAGAGCCAGGAGTAAGACCTGAGCAGCACTGGGTGTGACCCCTGCACCTCCCCCCACCAAAAAAAAAAAAGAGAGAGGATTAATTTGGGAGCAGAGGTAGCAACCTTTTATTTTAGATTGGAGAGCAGAGATATGAGGGAAAGAGATAAAGAACAGAAGCAACCCAGCAACAGTCTCAGAGATGATTCTGGGCGTTAGCCTGAGTAACCGGATAAGTGTGCTGTCCACCGAGGGGCAGGTGGAGCTCTGTGAGGGAGCAGCCTGGGGCGGTTCTGCTTGTGCTGCAGAAGGGCACATTCTCCGTTCTCTCTGGCTTGGCTCCCTGGGTCCTGAGGGCGAGTGTATAGCAACGTGTTCTCTTTGGCTGACAGGGCTCCACAGAGAGCTGCAATGCCACCACGGAGGACGAGGACCTCAAAGGTAGGTGCTGCCTGTGGTTGGGGAAGGGACCCCAGCAGTGTTCCAGGTACTTGGGTTGCTCCCAGAGCCGACCTTGGGGGTTCACCAAGCCCCAGGAGAAGGGGCAGGGTTGGGGAGGGGACAGAGACCAAGCACATGCCTTGTGTGTGTAAAGTCCTGGATTTCATCCCCAGCGCCACAAAAATAAATAAATACATCATCAAAGATCTGAAGCCCCTGTCTGATATCATTGGGGTATCACTATGTCCTTGAACCCCAATCTGGAAGAGCCAAATCAGAGCTTTTCCTGGGCTCCCTGGGGCCAAGATTCAGCACTCTCCCTCTCGCTGATAAGGCAGTGACAGTGCCAATCAGGGACATTAGAATTCCCATGAAGGAGCCCAGACACACTATCACAAGACTCGAGCGAGTGAACAATCATCCCACTTGGCCCAGGACTGAGGCAATTCCCAGGATGTGAGACTTTCCCTTGTAAAGTGGAACAGACCTGGACACGTCTGGATGAGTAGTTGGTCCCACTCATCCCAAAGCCCCGTGACTAATTATGGGCTCCGAACCACATGTGGCCGGGTGTGGTGGCCCTGGTCTCTGGCTGTTGGGGGGCTCGGCAGACTACTCCATGGGGAAACTCGTGGTCCAGCTCTTGGTCCCTTTGCCTGTAGTAAGGAGCACTCAGAAAAGATTATATTGGGCCAGAAAGAGCGATAAGCAGGTAAGGCGCTTGCCTTGCACACAGCCAACCCAGGTTCAATCCCCGGCATCCTATATGGTCGCCACCCCGAGCACTGCCAAGGGTGATCCCAGAGCACAGAGCCAGAAGTGAGCCCTGAGCACCTCCAGATGTGACCCAAAAAAACAAGAAAAAAAATAGATGGTGTTTTGGGGCCAGAACTATGCTACAGCAGATAGGGTGATTGCCTTATATGCAACCAACCAGGTTTCGATCCGGTACCTCGTATGGTTCCCAGAACCCTGCCAGGAGTAATTCCTGAGTGCAGAGCCAGGAATAAGCCCTGAGCATTGCCGGGTATGACCCAAAAAACAAACAGGAAAAATGGAGATTTTGCTCAACAGAGCTAAAAGAGCTTGCCCAGAGGCAGTACCCAGGCCCCAAATCTTTTGGGCACCCCCTCCAAAAAAAGGGGGTGACCAGAGAGGAGAGTGCAGAGGATAAGGGGGTTGCCTTTGCAGATGACCCGGGTCTGGTCCCTGGCACCTCACAGAGCCCTGCCAGGGGAGCTTCCTGAGCACTGCCAGGAGTGGCCCCCAACCAACTAGGAAGGTGCTCAGGAATGCCGGGGTTCACGGCTGGCTCAGTGTCGTTCGGTGGTGCTGCGGCATGAGGGGCCCCTTCATTGGAACCCTGGCCTTGCCGAGCAGATGCCTGGGGCAGGCCCCCTCCGGCAGCCCAGGGCCAGGCGCCTTCCTGGGATTCTTGGCTGGGAGGCCTCTCTGGCAGAGGCAGCGGCGTGGGATGTGACCCAGCATCCCGGTGGCCCGAGGCCTCTCCGTGCCCGGGCTCCTCAGTGCCACGGGCCTGGGTCCGGTCCGGCTTGCTCGCTCACCTGCCTTGTTCTGTTTGTTTTGGCTGCCCTGCCCTGCCCTGCCCTGCCCTGGCTGGCTAGCTGCCCCGCTCCGCACTGGGAATAGCAGCTCGGTGCCCGAAGGACGGAGCTCCCGGGACAGGACAGCCCCTTCCGCAGGCATGCAGCCCCAGCCTTCTCTCTGCTCCTCAGCCAGTAAGTGTGAGGGAGGCACATGCTGGCTTCCGTCTCCCTGGCTCGTCCTGAAGCCACGGCAGGGACACACCATCCCGCACCTCCCAGCCTCCGGCCAGCCTTAGGATGCTGGCCTCCGCTGGGAGGGCGGGGGGGCTGATGAAGGTGGACGAGCAGGGTCTGGAGAGAAGGGGAGAGCGCCTGGGCGGGCGGGAGCCAGAAGCCGGGGCCAGGGGGGAGCGGGAGACGGGGAGAGGCCCGAGCGGAGAGGCCTGTTGGGATGCGGTATTTCCTGAGGCTCCGTCTGATAATCCCGCTCGGGGGCCTGGGGTGAGACAGACCTGTCCCAGCTACAGCACCTTCAGGGTAAAGTAGCGTCAGCCTCGCGGGACTTGCCTTTTGTCCTCTGTCAAATGGGAAGGAAATGGTACCTGCCTCCTGGGAGATGGTAGAGCATCAGGATAGGGCGCCCTGCTGGTGAGTGGTAGCTGGCGTTTCTGTCTCGAGTCCCGTCCGTGTTGATATGACGCGTTCATCTGCTTCTTTGCCTCCTACCGCCTCTCCTTTTTGGAGTTTCTTTTCCCGGTCTCTGAGCTGGGAGACGGGGTGTGTGGGTCGCGCCATGTCCACGTCGGCCTCTTCACAGTGGCTCGAGCTTTTAACCTGTCACTGGCTCACCCGGAGTGGCCCCTGGATGATGCTCATGGGCCCGGGTCCCTTTCCAGCTGCACCTCTGGCTGCGCTGCCCTGTCCCAGCTGCGCCCCTCAGCTGTGCCATCCTAATGCTCATGTTTGTCTTGCAGCCTCTCGCTGCGATGAGGAAAGGCTTGTGGCCTGGTGTGGTCTGGGGCTCCAGTCAGGGGCACTCTGAGCTCAGCCGCCCTCCCTTCCCCTGATGGCACCCTCTGCTAACGGCGGTGCTCCCCGTGAGTGCAGAATGTCAGCAGAAGCTCCCCTGCTTAAGACGGGCTGGGGGCTCCGGGGGACAATGCCCTGCCTGGCACTCGAGCTGGTCTGAGCTTGACGAGAGGCTCCAGTTAGGAGAGTTGAGTTCCTTTTCCTTTGTCCCGGAAAAGCCTCGTGGAGGAGGTGGTAAGCGAGGTCACAAGAGAACTGAGCGTCCACCCCAGGGCTCTACCCGTCCTTTCTGGAACCTTCTGTGAGGCTCTGTTGGCTCTCATGGACCCTGGGGTTGAGGCTGAGACCCCGCTGAGCCCCTTCGGACGAGAGAAGTCAGGGTGATGGAAGCAGCCTAACGGGTGATGCCTTAGAGGGGCTGGCCACTCCCGGGAAGGGTCGTTAATGCTAGGCTCCCAACCGAGGCTCTGGGCTTTTGGGAACGGGAGGGCTGCAGTGTGTCTGGGAGGGAAATGGAGGCACAGGCCAGAGGACGTAGCAGTGGGTGCAGGAGAGGGGGCGGGCCGGGCAGGGCGGGCAGGAGGGCAGGTGCTGCAGGGTCCTTGCAGGCAGAGGAGGGGCAGCTTGTCAGTCATCACTGGGGGTTTCTCCGTGCCAGGAGCACACCCTCACCCAACTCGGGTAATGGCTGGATTTTCCTCTGTTTCCCTCCACAGTGCGCAAACAGGAGATCATTAAGATCACAGAGCAGCTGATCGAGGCCATCAACAACGGGGACTTTGAGGCCTACACGTGAGTAGCCCCAATTTCTTGAGACCCAAGTCGTCTCTCAAGGTGTTTTTTTGTTTTGTTTTGTTTTGTTTTAATTTCCTTTTCCCCAAAAACTGCAGCTCAGGGTCCTGGGGAAAGGGAATGCCGGTCCTCAGGCAGGTTTGAGTCAGCAGGCCCCCCAGGCCGGGAGCCCTTCCGGAAGATGCGTTGCCTTGCGTCTGACGGGCAGCCCGAGTGAGGACGCAGCCAGCTAGTCAGGCCTGGCCCACAGCTCCCCTGCTGCTGCCGGCAGTTCCGACACCCTGACCGGGCAGAAAGGCAGGTAATCCGCGGCAAAGACTGACAGGCTGCTTTTTTCCCACCCGCAGGAAGATTTGTGATCCAGGCCTCACTTCTTTTGAGCCCGAGGCTCTTGGTAACCTCGTGGAGGGGATGGATTTCCATAAGTTTTACTTTGAGAATCGTGAGTGGGTTCGTGCTGCTGATATACTCCTGCCTGCCCCTTCACCTCCTCTGCCTCTGTCCCTGCTCACCTCCTCCTCTTCCCAGTCACCCCCTTTCCCTTTACTTGATCTGCCTGCTGCACCCTGGTCTGCGTGCTTGCCTCCTCGGCCTGCCCGTGGTCCCGAACCAGCATCTGCAGGGGGCCCTCCCCAGCCTTGTGTGTTCCGCAGCTACCGCCCAGCCATGCCAGTGGCCACGGTTGGGGAAGGGGGAGGGGGTCACTGTATTTCTGTCGGCCTCACCTCTTTCCAAGCCAGTTGGAAGCGTTGGTGGGCTCAGCAAGTACTGACGGAGCCAGGAAGGGTTCCCAGCAGCAGGGCACGGCAGCCAGGATCGGGAGATGCCAGCGAGGCCCAGGGCACTGGTGGGGACGTGAGAGATGGTAGTAGCTAGGTTCCTCCCGGATGCCAGAGGGAGCAGAAGTCCTTGGCTGGGGGGGCCACACTGGAGCTGGAGGGACACTCCAGAAAGTTCATGGAAGGTCCAGGGGATGAGAAGCTGAATCATCCCCTCCTCCACCTTGTCTCACTCTCCTCTTTTCTTTATTTCCCCCCCTTCTTTCCCCCTTTATCCTGGGCCTTTCCCATCCTGCCTGAGGTTTATCATAGTTGTCTGTTAACTACCATCCTCTGTTTCTCTGCTACAAAAGTCAGCTCTAAGTGTCCTTAAGGACTTCCAAAAGTTGCCAAAGGCAACTCCTTAGTTTATAGGAGCCTTGGGGATGGTCTCGCCCTGGGGATGGTCTCATGTGAGCCCTGTTTGGCACTTGGGCCAAAATGTGACTTAGTAACACCAGCACATCCTGCACAGCACTTGCTGCCATTCGGCGGTTCAACTTCTTCCCCCAGGAGGATCCTAGGAACCTTAGAAAGATCCTGAACTTGGTGCTTCAACTTTGGCAGGGTGTTTTGGAGGTGGCCCCTCCCGGCAGGACCATTGCTGGGGATCAAGCACCTGCAAATAATATGCCAGCCTTTGAGTTTCCTCCTAGGCAGGGGTTGTTTTTTTATTTTACAAATGCTTTCAGTCACACCAACATGCTCAAGGGCTACTCCCAGCTTAGTGCTCAGGAGTCACTGTTGGTAATGCTGGGGGACCTTGCTGTGCCAGGGTTCCAGTCCAGGCCTCCGGTTTGCAAAGCCTGCACACAGCATATGCCATCCCCACCACACGGTGCAGGTGGGGTTTTTGTTTTTTTCATCACAAAGCAACCCTTCTTCTTCCTTTTGGTTTTGATTTTGGGGCTATAGCCGGTGGTGCTCAGGGCTCACTCCTGGCTCTGCACTCAGGAATTACTCCTGGCCATACTCAGGGCTCCATATGGGGTTCCAGGGATCGAACTCAGGTCGGCCACATGCAAGGCAAACGCCCTACCCTCTGTACTACCACTCCAGCCCCACAAAGCAACACATCTTATGAATTCCAATCATCAGCCCAGGCGAGTAGCGAGACATAGGTTTTAGTCAAGAATCAAATCAAATGCAGTCCCAGGGTAGTGTTATTTGGTCAAATTCTATTTCCTTAACCTCCTTGGACCTGTTTTTCTACAATGAAGAACATGCTATGGGCCAAGGAATATGTGTTTTGCATGTGAGACCCTCGGCATGTCTGATCAGCAGAGTCACTGCTGCAGATGAGGCTGCAGAGAAGAGGACTCAGAGGCGCCTCTGTGCCAGGCCCCGAGTTTGATTCCTGTCACTGCAAAAACCAAGCCAAATCAAAAGCTGCTATTTAGCACCATTACCACCTGTCTCTGAGACTAAGTGGGGTTTTCTGGCCCTGGGCAGGGTGGGAGACGAGGAGATGCCCAGAATGGTTGCTGGAAAGAGGGTGAGATTTAAAAGTGCATACTGGGAGGAGAATGCCTGTGTCCAGGCTGAGCCCTCTTACATGCCCTGCCCTGCCCCTGCAGTTCTGTCCAAGAACAGCAAGCCCATCCACACCACCATCCTGAACCCACACGTCCACGTGATCGGGGAGGAAGCAGCTTGCATCGCCTATATACGCCTCACCCAGTACATCGATGGGCAGGGCCGGCCTCGAACCAGCCAATCAGAGGAGACTCGGGTCTGGCATCGCCGGGACGGCAAGTGGCTCAATGTCCACTATCACTGCTCAGGGGCCCCTGCCGCACCGCTGCAGTGAGCTCAGCCACAGGTGCACCTGGAGGGGGGGCAGGAGGGGCCGGGACCCCTGGGGTCACACACTGGGGGGGGAGGACCAGGCCATCCCGGTGGCATGGCGGCGGCTCAACCCTGGGCCCATGATAAGTCGTGCTCTGAAATGTGGTGGACTTGGGTCTGGCTCCCGACTCGAAATGAGGACCTCAAGGAGGTTATTTCCTCTCCCTTGGCTGCAGTTCCCTTCGCTGTCAAAAGGCGAGGGGGCAGGGGGCATCCCCTCTATAACTGAGTCAGAAGGACTCCGGCTCTTTCCAAGCAGAGCATTCAAAAAGTGCTCTGCCAGTGTGAGGCTTTGTGACTGTGATTTCGCCTTTTCTTTTGGGGTGGGGCTCAAACCCAGGGTCTCCATTCAGTGGCGCGTGCTCTGCCACCGAGCCGGCCTGCAGCCGGCACTGCGGTCCTCTGCCTTCTCGGGCAGCCGTGGCCACGTTCGTGTGCTCATTGTTCTCTGTTTGACAGGGACATTAGGAGATCCCAGCTGGAGGTCGAACCTTCGCAGCCAGTGGCTCTGGAGGGCCTGAGTGTCAGCGGCAGTCCTGTTCGTTTGAGGTTTAAACAATTAAATTACAAAGCGGCAGCAGCCAATGCACGCCCCTGCATGCAGCCCTCCCGCCCGCCCTTCATGTCTGTCTCTGCTGTACCGAGGTGTTTTTTACATTTAAGAAAAAACAAAAAAAAAGAAAAAATTGTTTTAAAAAAAAAAGGAACCCATACCATGAGGTGTTCTGAAACCACCATCTAGCCGTTGGGCTGGCAAGAAGGCAGGAGTTGGTATGACGCCCATCCTGGCAAACGCAGCGGGCTCACCCCCAAGCCCTGAAGAGGTGAGCTCGGCCTCTGGCCTCCACAGACACAGGGGGACCAGGCAAGGACTCTGACAGAGCTTTGGGGGCCGTGACGAGATGGCAGTCCCTCAAGTGGCCTGCCCGCCTCTGCCCGGGAATGGACTTCTTCAGAATGTGTGGAGGCGAGCAGGAGGCCCGTGAACACAGCGGGGCCATCAGACCTACTTGGAGAGGTTGCAGTGTTCCCAGGCTGCCGCCGAGGCAGCTGAGATGCCATGGCCTCAGGACCGAGGGGCCAGTCGTGGCCGTACTGTTGGTGTAGTGTAGAGGGAAGAGAATTGGTGCTGCAGAAGCGTGTCCGCTACCAAGCCGATGAGAAACCTCGTGTTAGTCTGACATGCACTCACTTACTCATCCATGTTTATAGGATGCACCGTGCACCCTGCTAGGGAGGCCCGTCCCTGCCGCTGGGAGGGGGAGGGGTTGCTGCTTTTGCTTCCTGTTCGTTTTCTTAACAACTTAGCAAGGAGAGAGCCTGTTCAGGGCCCGCCTTGCTGCCTTTGGCAGTTCTCTTTCTGTGCTGATTTGGACCATCTTTGTCTTGCCTTTCGTGGTGGTGGTCCCTGTGCTGATCCTCCTCTGGGTCTCCGTGCTCTGCCAAGTGCCCCGTGGGAAGGGAGGAGCGAGGAGGTCCCAGAGTCCGTGGTTGTTTCTATGCACTGGGGCAGCCCTCAGGGCGGCCTCCCTTCCGTCCTCTTCCCTTGCGCACTCGTCCATCTCTTTTCCTGTCTGAGAATGATCTGACGGCTCGAGCAAGAAGAGAAGGTCTCCTCTGACAAACTGCAGTATAGCGTTAACTGCTGGACAATCTGCATGGGCGTCACCCCCTCTCACCTGCATGTACCCAAAAGAGGTGTCCAGAGCCAAGGCTCCTACAGTTTCTGTCCTCTCTCTGCTAAGGAGTTTCATTCCAGGAGGGAAAGATCTGTGCTCTGAGCAGATAGCAGAAAACAATCCCAGAGGAGCAATTGTTATGGCCTTGATTCCCCTCTCCCCCCGCCCCCCAAACAACTGTGCAGATCTGTCTGCACAAGTGTCTGCACTCTTGGGGAGGAAGCGGTTAGATCTCAGCTCCCTGGACTACCTTCAAGGAGATACAGGAGCTGGGAGAAGAGGCAAAGCTACCGTTGTGCTTGGAACCAGCCGAGAAGAGAGCAGACTCACAGGTGCTGGTGCTTGGATTTAGCCAGGCTCCTCCGAGCGCCTCATGCATGCCCCGGCCCCTGAGCCCTTGCCCCTTTCTGCCCTGCAGCCTGTAGTACCAGCACGCAGACACCTTCACCACCAGGTTGGTTTTGCTGGCTTGAAGACAAATGGTCTTAGAGTTCATTAAGACCCATAGCTTCATATGGCTGCCCCAGCCCCACTTCTTAGCATTCTTATTCCTCTTCTGGGGCTAATGTCAGCATCTATAGACAATAGACTATTTAAAAAAAAAATCACCTTTTAAACAGGAAATGGAAGGCATTTGATGCAGAATTTTTGCATGATGACATAGAAATAATTTAAAAATAATTAGTGTTTGTTCTGAATGTTGGTAGATCCTTCATAGCTTTGTTACAATGAAACCTTGAACTGAAGATATTTAATAAAATAACCTTTAAACAGTCCTTTGTGTTAACTGCTGCCAGAGCCTTACGGATGGAAGAGGGTTGATGTCAGCAGCCTGGGTTACAAGGCTTCAGAGGGACAAATGTACCTTCTCCCACACCGTCTGAGCGGCCTGAGAAGAAAACTCTGTGGCTCAGCCTTGCCACCGGTCCCTGGGAGATGCCGGGCGAGCTTGGGGTCGGTGGACTGACTTGGACGCGGGGCTAGAGGGCTGGCCCCGCCCCCTCCCCGCTCCCCCCGCGCCGGCCTGAGTGGGCGAGCCCGGCCCCGCCTCGCTCTGGCCCCGCCTCGCTCTGGCCCCGCCCCCTCCCCTCCGCCAATGGGCCTGCCCGGCTTCCCCCGCGCGGGCCTGAGTGGACGAGCCCGGCCCCAGCTCCGCCCCTCGGCCCCTGGGCCGGCCTGAGTGGAGGAGCGTGGCTCTGCCCCGCCCCCCGTCCAATGGGCCGGCCCGGGTCCCCCCGCGCCGGCCCGGATGGACGGGCCCGGCCCCGCCCCCTCCCCTCTTCCAATGGGCCGGCCTGGCTCCCCCCGCGCCGCCTGAGTGGACGAGCCCGGCCCGGCCCGCCCGACGCCGCCGACTGTGCCACGGCTCGGGCGCGGGGGGTCCTGCGGGCGGGGCGCGGGGCTCGGAGGCCGCGGCTGGAGGCGCGCCGCGGGGTCCGGGGTCCGGGGGCGGCGCGGCGGCGGCCCCGCGCGGAGCCCGCTCCCCCTGCGGCCGCGGTGGTTGGGCCCGGTGCGGCGGAGCCTGCGCTCCGAGATGGCGGAGCCGCCGCGACGCGGCCCGAGGCCCCGAGAGCTGGCAGAGCGGGCCGCCCCGGGACGCGGCGGAGCCCGGGCACCGCGGGGACGCCGCCCAGCCCGCCGGGTGAGCCGCCTTCGGGGAGACCCCCGCCGATCCGCCCGCGGGGTGGCGATCTCGGCCCGCCCCCGGCCCCGGCCTCTGCTCCCTCTGCTGCCCCTTGGGCGGGGAGACTCCCCCGGGGCGCTTCCAGCCTAGCGGCCACTGGCCCGAGCCCAGCCTGCCCTTTGCACGCCCCTCAGCCCGTCCCCGGCAGCGCCCCGTCCTCTGCTGCCTTCAGAGCCACCTGTGACCCCACAGTGCCCCCTCAGCCACTCCCCGGCGTCCCAGGCCCGCATGCCCGTGCCCGTGCCCCCGGCTGGAGGGACCCTTCCGCCCGGCTCCCCAACCCACCCGCTTCCCTCCCCTCCCCCACCCCCTTCTCCCGCCCTGGGTCACCTCCTGGTGCCCCCTCGGAGTTGTCCCACGGCTGCACACGGAACCCTCCCTTCCCACTCCCATCCCACTGGCTCTTAGAGCCCCCTCGCCCCGTCCCTAAATCTTGCCGCCCGCCGCCTCCAGGCAGGAAGCTGAGACGCGGTGCTCAGAGCACCGGCGCCGCGGGTCTCAGTCCCTCTGTTGCTCGAGCAGCGAGCGAGTGGGCTGGCACGCTGCTCCTTCAATATGGGGATAAGAGCGACAATGAGAATGGTTGTGAGGATGGAACGTAGGTGAAGGTCTTAGGGACCAAGCGGGAGCTCGCACTCGGCAGATACTGTTATTCTTAGCACAAAGGTGGTACACCCCAAGTATTTACTTCCTCTGAGACTTGTGTTTCTCAGTTTCATTCGGGGGACTTCACCCCTTTTGCATTCCCATTTCGATTCTCTCTTCTAGCTCTCGTCACTTCCATGAGGTTTTTACTCAGGCCCAAATAGAACTTTTTTCCCCTTTCGGGGTCACACCTGGCAATGCTCAGGAGTTATGGCTCCCAGCGGCGCTTGGGGGACCATATGGAGCGCGTGAGCCATTGTATTGTCCGGCTCTCAAACTGAACCATTCTTAAATTATTTCAATTCTGAAGAATCCAGCCTCTGCCTAACAAACCCCTGCTGGAGATGCTTGTGGACCTGGATGAGTGGCAGAGCGGCGCTCTGAGCCTCTGGCCTTCCTCGGAGTGGCTCAAGTGGAGAGAGCAACAACGTTGCAGAGGCCGTTTAAGGAAAATAGTCCCAGAATCCGCATAGTCCCAGAATCCGCTCCGCTCTGCCCTCCAAGGTGTTCTGCACCCCTGCCCTTCTGCAGCCTCGCTGGTTGGAGGTTGCCACTGCCCTGCAGCCCCACTTGTTGCTTTTTGAGCAAACCCTGGGGTCTTGCCCAGTGGGCCGTTCAGGAATCAAGAGAATAGTACCTTCTAGGCTAAATTAGCAAGGGCAGTGGCTGGGTACTGGCTTTCTGGCTTGGCTCAGGGATGTATCGTGACTGGGGTTACATGTTTGTCCCTTCTGACATTGCCACCAGGGAATTAAGAGAGAGGGGAAGCTTCTCATAAATGGTTGGGGAGGAGGGGGAAGAAGAGTTTCCAAGTTCTGGGTTTGGAAGCTCAGGAGATGATTGACACCCCGTTTCTCTTTTCCAAGGCCCCCTCCGTTGTCCACGTGACTGTGAGTTCGTTAGTGCTGTTAGCCAGTGGGCTCGAGTTTGATGAATGACAAAGATTAACCAGATCATGAGTTTCCTCTTATCTTATGTTTGGTCAGGAGCGCTGAACTTTTGAGGCTTTTGTCCCTCCCAGGAAAATCAGAAGTGCTGGCAGCTCCCTGACGGGCTGGGGATTCCTTTCTGAGCTGGCTCATTTTCAGCCTCCTCCATGCTTTGACTTCTTCATTGGGAGCGCAGGTTCCCTTCAGCCCTGGGTCATGGGGCTCCCACTCTGAGCGTTACTCAGGGAGGGAAACTTCAGACCATTGTCAAAGACACGAGAGAGGTCCCGGGAGCAAGCTCAAGGGGGCTGGAGCTTGGCTTTTTTGCCTGCAAGAGGCCCTGGGTGAGGCCCAGGCTGACCCCTGACTCTGCCAAGAGTCACCCCACCTTGAATCCCTCTGGGTGTACCCCTCATCCTCTAGAACAGTCTGGGAGACTGAGACTCAGATCGTGTTGTTCTTCTACAGGACTTTTTCTTTGGAGAACAAATCATCCTGTGAGCAGGAGGTACGAGATGGAGGTTTGAGGGAGACAGGGGAGGGGTTGGGATGGGACCTAGTTTCACCAGGACCAATAACTCAGCGATTTCTGTCTTACAGTGGGAGCAGAGGTCGTGGATTTTGCTGATCTCTGATGTGAGGAAGTCAACCAGGATTTGGGGCAGAGACTGGTTAGATTTGCATCCTAAAGCCATGGACCAGGGGGCCATGGTCACCTGAGGCCAGTGCATTCTGTCCAGTTGCCCCCTGTCTCCTTGCCTACCTCCTCTCCCCTCCAGTGAAGGACTTGGCTTCATCCGAGCCTCCCAGGAGAGCCTCAGCCTATTAAACTCCCTCCCTCCCTGGAGCTGGGCCCCCGCCATGCTCAAGCTGTGGAAGGTGGTCCGCCCAGCCCGGCAGCTGGAACTGCACCGCCTCATCCTGCTGCTCATCGCCTTCAGCCTGGGCTCCATGGCCTTCCTGGCTTACTACGTGTCCACTAGCCCGAAGGCCAAGGAACCCTTGCCCCTGCCCTTGGGAGACTGTAGTAGCGGCGGGGCTGCGGGCCCCGCCCGCCCGCCAGTCCCGCCGAAGCCCCCCAGGCCTCCGGAAACTGCTCGAACTGAGCCCGTGGTGCTGGTATTTGTGGAGAGCGCCTACTCCCAGCTAGGCCAGGAGATCGTGGCCATCCTGGAGTCCAGCCGTTTTCGTTACAGCACCGAGCTGGCGCCTGGCCGAGGGGACATGCCGACCCTGACGGATCAGACCCGTGGCCGCTATATCTTGGTCATTTATGAGAACCTGCTCAAGTATGTCAACTTGGACGCGTGGAGTCGTGAACTGCTCGACAGATACTGTGTGGAGTATGGGGTAGGCATCATTGGCTTTTTCCGAGCCCACGAACACAGCCTTCTGAGTGCCCAGCTGAAGGGCTTTCCCCTGTTTCTCCACTCCAACGTGGGCCTTCGGGACTACCAAGTGAATCCCTCGGCCCCTCTGCTGCACCTCACGCGCCCCAGCCGTCTGGAGCCTGGACCCCTGCCTGGTGATGACTGGACCATCTTCCAGTCTAATCACAGCACGTATGAACCAGTGCTTCTGGCCAGTCTTCGGCCAGCTGAGCCCCCTGTGCCGGCACCCGTGTCTCGCCGAGCCCGGCTTCCCACCGTGGTTCAAGACCTCGGGCTTCACGATGGCATCCAGCGAGTGCTCTTCGGCCATGGCCTGGCCTTCTGGCTGCACAAGCTCGTTTTCGTCGACGCGGTTGCGTACCTCACTGGCAAGCGCCTCTGCCTGGACCTGGACCGCTATATCTTGGTGGACATCGATGACATCTTCGTGGGCAAGGAGGGTACCCGCATGAAGGTGGCTGATGTGGAGGTCAGTCTTCTTCCTGACTCGGATTTCTTTCCGTAGAAACGATTTCACTGTCGGGTCTGTCAGATTCCAGTCTGTGAAAGAATCCCGAACCTGTCCTAGGTATTCCCTGTCATGTTTCCAGGCTGGAGGAAGGCTGCTGCTCATTTCTTTTCCCTGCTGCTCTTCCCAGGCTCTGTTGACCACCCAGAACAAACTCAGGAACCTAGTCCCCAACTTCACCTTCAACTTGGGCTTCTCTGGCAAGTTCTATCATACGGGTGAGCCTCTGTCCCAGCTCTCAGCATACCTTTCTGTCTTCCTTGGCACCCACGTTCGGCAGAGGGGGCCAGGTTTGGGATCAGAGTGCTGTGAGGAGCACACTGGGCTTGGCTGTCGGTTGGCCTGGGGGGCTGGAGAGCAAGTTGATGGCGGGGCCAATGTCTCATCTAGGGCGAGGTCAGCATCCCAAGACTGGCAGGTGGTCACTTGTGGGACAGAGGAGGGCACAGAGTGACTCGGGCTGTGGTCCTAGGGACAGAGGAGGAGGACGCAGGGGACGACATGCTGCTGAAGCACCGCAGAGAGTTCTGGTGGTTCCCCCACATGTGGAGCCACATGCAGCCACATCTGTTCCACAACCGCTCCGTTCTGGCCGACCAGATGAGGCTCAACAAGCAGTTTGCTCTGGTGAGAACTTCCTCCGCGGGCTTTTCCCCAGAGACCCTGTTTCCTTTCCAGCTTCCCCTATGGGGCGCCCTTTCCTTACCCTTTCCGCCTTTCTTTGTCGAGGTTCCCGCACCCTTTTTACCCTCTGCTCCCCAGACCTCGCCAGGTTCTGGTGAGCGTGTCTGCCATCCCCAGGAACATGGAATCCCCACGGACCTGGGGTACGCTGTGGCTCCCCACCACTCGGGCGTGTACCCCATCCACACACAGCTCTACGAGGCCTGGAAATCTGTGTGGGGCATCCAGGTGACCAGCACTGAGGAATATCCCCATCTCCGCCCCGCACGCTACCGCCGAGGCTTCATTCACAATGGCATTATGGTGAGGGGGCCCCCAAAATGAACCTGAACGGACTCCCATTGTCGTTCAGCCACCAGCTCGTGCTGACCTCAGTCACCTTTTGGTCCTAGTTCAACTGGGTCACCAGGGTAGCGGGGCGAGAAGTCATAATGCTCAGAGCAGGAGCTTTACTGTCATTTCAGATGAGGTCTCGGTAACTTGGAAGCTCCGCCCCTTCTCCCTGTCGCATCTCATTGCTCCCTGTTCCTGCAGGTGCTGCCACGGCAGACATGTGGCCTCTTCACCCACACTATCTTCTACAACGAGTATCCTGGAGGTTCTCGGGAACTGGATCGGAGCATCCGAGGTGGAGAGCTCTTTCTGACGGTGCTGCTCAACCCGGTACAGAGCTGAGGGGCTGGAGGACAGGAGTGCCACCGCGCTTCAGGCTGGAATGGAGGTGGGGCGGGGCGGGGTGGGCTCAGCTCCCCAAGGCTGACTTGCAGCTGTCCCCTTGCAGATCAGCATCTTTATGACCCATCTGTCCAATTACGGAAATGACCGGCTGGGCCTGTACACCTTTGAGAGCCTGGTGCGCTTCCTCCAGTGCTGGACCAGACTACGCCTACAGACGCTCCCTCCCGTCCCTCTCGCACGAAAGTACTTTGACCTCTTCCCTCAAGAGCGAAGCCCTCTGTGGCAGGTAGGGATGGACAGCAAACTGACCAGAGATGTGATGGGGTTGGGAGTTCAAGAAAAGATGAGGCCTGATCTCATTCTTGGCTTCACCAGAATCCCTGTGATGACAAGAGGCACAAAGATATTTGGTCTAAGGAGAAAACCTGTGATCGGCTCCCCAAGTTCCTCATCGTGGGACCCCAGAAGACCGGTGACTCCTCCTTAGCCAACTTGTCTTGCCTTCTCTTAAACCCAAGGCCTCTCTTGGTCAATAAACTCCCTTCTCATAGACACCTGTCATCAGATCAGTCTTGAGACAGTGATTCTTAACCCTGGCTGGTTTTATGTCAGAATCATCTCTGGAAATTTTAAGGATCCACAGTGGATTCTAATAGACAGTCAAGGCTGAGAACCACTTTAACCCTTCCCTGGACCTCTCTGACTCTCCTCTCCTCTCTGGTTTGGCTACATGGGATTGTACTACCCAGAGCGGTTCTTTTCTCACCACTGTGAGGCTCGTGTGGTTGAGCTGACTTCGCTTCCGCAATGGCCTGGCCTTTCTTCTCCATCCAGGGACAACCGCTGTTCACTTCTTCCTGAGCCTGCACCCCGCTGTGACTGGCAGCTTCCCGAGCCCCAGCACCTTTGAGGAGATTCAGTTCTTCAATGGTCCGAATTACCACAAGGGCATTGACTGGTGAGACAGAACCCTTTGCAGTGCTTCTCAGAGGAACACCTGTCCCCTCAAATGCCATTCCAGCTTCCACCAGCATTGAAAAGCTGCAAACTCTCTACCTTTTCTCTCTGCTACCCCCTAGGTACATGGACTTCTTCCCTGTCCCTTCAAATGCCAGCACCGACTTCCTGTTTGAAAAAAGTGCCACCTACTTTGACTCAGAGGTTGTGCCACGGCGGGGAGCTGCCCTCTTGCCCCGAGCCAAAATCATCACTGTGCTCATCAATCCTGCTGACAGGGCCTACTCCTGGTACCAGGTTGGCCTGAAGCTGGAGACATACTGGGGCCTCAGGGAGAGGTGGTACCTGCTTCAAAGACTAGACAAAATGAAATCTGGAAACTAGTTCTTCTTTTGCGTTTTGGGTGACAGCCCAGCAATGCTCAGGGCTTACTCCTGGCTCTGCACTCAGGAATTACTCCTGGGGGACCACAAGGGATGCTGGGGATCGAACCAATGTTGGCCGTATGCAAGGCAAACACCTTCCCTGCTGCACTGTCGCTCCAGGCCCCAGGAAACTAGTTGTTGAGGGAAAGGTGGAGGGCAGGTTTGAGGAAGTTCTCACCAGAGCAAACAGGCAAGGACATCATATTCTGTTAGCACTCTAATCTCCTCTTTCGCCTGTCCTTTCAGCACCAGCGAGCACATGGAGATCCCACTGCTCTGAACCACACTTTCTATGAGGTGGTTTCAGCCTCCTCTCAGGCCCCACTGGCACTTCGCTCCCTGCAGAGCCGCTGTCTTGTCCCTGGCTACTATTCTACCCACTTACAACGCTGGCTTACTTACTACCCTTCCGGACAGGTAACAATCCCCCGGTAGCTCCATCGAGGGCCGCGTTTACCTCCTCTTCCCTTCAGCCCAGAGGCTTCTAAGGAATACACGGGAACCACATCCCTGTCCCTTTAGCTGCTGATTGTGGATGGCCAAGAGCTGCGTAACAACCCAGCCGCCTCAATGGAGAGTATCCAGAAGTTCCTGGGTATCACACCCTTTCTCAACTACACACGGACCCTCAGGTGGGAGAGCATAACCCAGGGGGTGACGGGAGGAGGGGGAGGGTTGTGCGGGAAGGATATGGGAGAGCAGGTAAACCTGTCAGTTCTTCCGCCACACCTGGAAGTGTTCAGGGCTTTGCACTCAGGAATCACTACTGGTGGGGTTCGGGAACCATATAGGGTACCAGGGATGAAACCTGGGTTGGCCACAACATGTAAGTCAGCGCCCTTCCAGCTGAACTACCCCAAACCTGTCAGTTTTAATCAAGCCAGTTGGGAGACCTGAATTTACCACCTCATACGAAGAAATGTGCGACACCGGCCAGGAGAGGTAGCACTGACAGGACTTGAATAGCTTTACTCTCACTTAATGATGTGTCCCTATCGAGCAGGTTTGATGAAGAGAAAGGATTCTGGTGCCAGGGACTTGAAGGTGGTAAGACTCGCTGTCTAGGCAAAAGCAAAGGCCGGAAGTACCCGGATATGGATACTGACGTAAGTCAAGCCCGGGGAGGGACTGCGCTCCACCGGAGTCTGCAGCCCACTCCTGACATTTCTGCCTTCCTTGCTCTTCAGTCCCGCCTTTTCCTTACGGATTTTTTCCGGAACCATAATTTGGACCTGTCGAAGTTGCTGAGTCGGCTTGGCCAGCCAGTGCCCTCGTGGCTTCAGGAAGAACTACAGCATTCCAGTCTGGGCTGAGGTCCTGGGCTTCTCTTCCAGCAAAAGCCTCCCTGCTTCCCTAAGGGGCAGCCCAGAACAGGGCCCACGGGGGAATGAGAGGCCTGGCCCCTCCCCCTCTACCTCAGTGACCCGCCCCCATAGGCCTGGGACGGCTGAGAAGGGAAGGGCATCCCTTTCCGCTAGCCTTGGGGTCCGGAACCCCACATCATGGTACTAAGCACCTCTAAACCGTGGTCTAGGAAGGTGGGGAGGAACGCAACGATCCAGGCAGGGTAAGAGGAATGTATTAACCCAGTGATTTCCCTCATGAGCCGCACCAGTGTATGCCTGGCTTAGAGGGACCCTTGGTTGGGGGGATCAGTGGGATCTACCTGTGGCCCGGCCTCCTAATGTCATTCACATTGAATGGGATGAGGTCGGACAGTGGCTCCGAGAGCTGAGTATGAGCCCTCGCCGTGGGCCAGAATGTCCTTAATAAACATCCTTATTTTTCTGTCTTGTCGCCTCACTGGAGCGGGGGGGACCTAGAATAAAGGACAAGCTTCCCTGCCTCCACCAGCCAGCTCAAGGTTCGACTGCCCCTGGAGCGGAAGAAGGGAACGGCCCAGGCAGAGTAAAAAAGGAGTTTATATATTTATAAATGCCAAATAAATACCAGAGGCCACCCAACGCCCCCTCCCAGACAGGGCCGTCTCCCCCAGCCCGAGGTTTCTGGGCTCTGAGACATCTTGGCCCCAAGCTACAGTCCAAGAGCAGCTGCCAGTGTGGGAAACCAGGGAACTGAGCGAGGCCGATCTGTCCAGCCACGACACTTCCCCCGGGTGACGCGCCCCCAGAGCCACAGGCCTGTGTCCCCGTAACAGGGCCTTCTAGGGGCCAGACTCAGGGGGAGAAGGTGGTCATCTCATGTGAGACCCGCCGCCACAGCTCCTTGGTCTGTTTGCTGCGCTTGAGGTTCTGCAGGATGTCGTTGAACTGCATCATGCCCATGGGGGTCAGGCAGAAGGCGCTGCGGGCACTGCAGATCGCATTCACAAAATCATCGTAGTCGGCAGGGGTCAGGTGAATCAAGCGGTGGTGGATGTACTGGGGGGGACACAGGGCGGGCGAACCACTGAGCATGGGAGCACACGCCTCCCCTCTGCTGGGCGCCCAGTGACACCCTCCCCCGTGCACTCGAGGGCGCTCACCTGCATGTACGCCTGCTGACAGCGCTGCACCAGTTGGTGAAAGGCCGGGGCACGCAGGTGGTTGTGGGCATGAGCAGGGCTCAGCCGCTGCAGCGTCTCCATGACGATCTCCTGCAGCACAAACGGGCTCAGCACCCCCTTGGCTGCCCCCACACAGAACTGGTGCACGTAGTTCACTCCTGGGGGGCAGGGGGAGGGGCATGAGAAGGGGGTGGCCACTTCTGCCCTAGGGACCCAACTTTTCTCTCGGCTCTGGCCTGGCAGAGAGCCTCCCTCCACCCGAGGAGCTGAGGGAACCCCCTGCCCCCGCGCACGCACACATACCCGACCAAGGCCTCAACTCAGCAAGAGCTAGGAAGGAGGTCTGGGATAGGAAGGGGGAGCAGGAGGGTGGACAATGGCCCTTGGGAGGGGAGGTGTTACCCAGCTTTGCCGCCAGCCCCAGCAACCATTTGACATCATCAGTGTAGGGGGGGGAGCGGGAGAAGTTGTTGGGGTGATCGTTGGGTGCCCGACGACCCAGCATCTCCAGCGCCAGCATTCCTGGGAGGAAAGGGTTGGCGGGTAGTAGAAGTCCGTCCCCCTTAGCTGTGCCTCGAGACACACTCGGAGCTACGGGGGGAGGGGGGCTTCATCGGAAGGGACCTCTCACCAACGCGGTAGGCGGCGTGCAGGTGGTGCAGGCTGTGTGGGTTGACAGGCTGGCTGTGTGTCTCCTCTGGTGGGGGGAAGCCCCCGCTCACCAGAGGGCTAGGCTGTGTGGCCAGAGCAGGCAGTGAGGTACCCTGGATGGCTGGAAACGTGGACGCTGGGTGGACACTGCTCACTGAAGGGGGGATAAAGGCTGTGTGAAGAACTCGACGCCCACTGAGGGCAGAGAGGAGTCCCTCCCCGCCTCCCTGGCCCAGACCCCCCCTCCATTCACCTGTTCCCTGTCCCCACAACTCACAGGCCACACTGGTGGGCAGTGGGAGCCCTGGCTCTGTGTGGTAGGGATGGACTGTGATGGGAGCCATGGAAGGGACGGAGAAAGACACAGCAGTGGCAGCAAGTGAGGGGGGAGTCACTGAGTAAGGGTACTGAGCCCCCAGGAATGCAGGATGCACACCCTAGAGTCGGGAAAAGAGAAGGAAGGCAAGTCAGATTAGGGGAGAACCTCCTTCGCCCCAGTTCCCCACCACCTCCCAGGGCTCCTGGACAGCTCTATCATCCATCCGAGCATCCCCCTCCAACCACACGCCACGCCACCCCCCCCCCCCATGTCCAAAGCCCCACCAGAGCACGGGTCTCACCTGTGGGTATGCAGAGCTGGACACAGGGAAGACGGCAGGCCGGGGCATATGAGGCATGGGGTGGGCAGGGTGAGCTGGGTGGGTGAGGTACTGGGGGCTGCAGGGCAGGTGGGGCTGCAGGGCAGTGTAGGGGTGCAGGCCAGGGGAGTGGCTGTGCCCCAGTCCTGGACCCGGATATAAACTGGACCCCACTGAAATGACTGGCACCACTGTGGCTGCTGCTGTCACTGCCGCCGCCGCCACTGTAACCGGCTCAGTCCCAGGGGCCCCCCTGCCTTCAGACAGCCCCCGCCCGGCCTCCCCAGCTGCCCTGACCCCACTGGCACTACAGCTTGTAGCCCCTTCACGGGCTGTGGATGAGCCACCTGCTGTCTGCTCATATAGCCAGAACCACTGGTGAGCAACCTCAAACAACACTTCGGGGTACACGCCCCCACCCTTAGCTGCCTCTTCCACTGCCATGCAGGCCTTCTCCAACATCAGGTTGTCCTGAAAGGGAAGGGTACCAAGGGTTAAGGTGGGAGGGATTACTCGGACCAGGTTTTGTTCTGTGGCAGGACCAGAGATTGAGCCCCGGAGCTCAAGTGCAAGGCAAGTCTTCTACGACCGGGCCACATCCCCAACCCTCACTCAGAGCTGGTTTTAACTGACATTCCAACAGCTCCCTCGAAACTGGCTGGTTGCCAGTAAGGCCTCAGTGATCAGGGCCCGTGCCCCGAGTCAGCCTCAGACCATGAGCTTCAAAGACACCGAACCGTCCCAGGCGAAAGCCCAGTTCGAGAGTTTAGTACTTCCTTCCACCCGAGTCCCCTCATCTTCCTCAAGCCTTCCCCAAGTATTCACTTCTGGTGATCATCTTTGGTCTCTGAACCAGAAGTCTCCGCCTCATTACCAATAGCATAAGCAGAACCCTAATCTCAGAGTTGAAAGCAAAAGCAGGAATGTCATGTGTCACCCCGACAGGACAGGACAAAGGAGCAGCTTGAACTGCAAGGTCTGAGCATCAAGAGCTGGCTTCTCGGCTCTCCCCCGTGTTCGACCTTCCTCCCAGACCCCACACTAGGTGCCCCGACTGCCTGTAGAAATACCTGTTCCTTGCACTGTACCAGGGCCCGCTGGATCTCATTCGGGTTCAGAGCATGGGCATGAGGAAGGCAGCTCAGGGCTAGTTCCGCGGCTGCCCTCACCATATTGGAGTCTCGTGCCCTCGATGCCCTATCAGCCAGGGATGCAACCTCAGGGGGAGTCAGGTGCCCGTCCCAGCATTCCACCAGGATAGTCAGGGCTGCACTGCCAATCTCCATTGCCTGGCCTTCGGAGAAAGGAGAAAAGCAGAGGCAGGTTAGCACCACCCAGCAGCATTCCCGTCAGATCAGTAACTCCACAAGGATCAAGTTCTCTGCCAGCGATCCCCTCCCGCCCAGACTGGACTCCCAATCCTGGAGTTACCTGTAATCCAGGAGACGTGCGAGGAATAGGTACGCGAGAGCCAATTGGGGGAAACGAAGTTGTGCAGGCCGAGGGCATAAAGCCCGATCTCGAAGGCGCAAAGGTGCAGGTTGCGATGAGGCCCCTGGTGGCCCACTGAGGAAGATGGGTGTGTGAAAATGGAAGTGCTGCTGTTTCCCCCTGCCTTGATCAGCACTGTCTTCGCCAGCTCGAAATAGAAGTGTGCAGCTGCCTCGGACGGCTGGTTGGGTACATGAGGGGCATGACTCTCGGGACGGCGACCCTTGTACCTGAAGGGACCAGGATTGGGGTTCCTTTGAAAAGGGCCCCAGGAAGGTTGAGGAAAACCAGAGTGTGGACACTTGCAGGGGACAGGAGTTGGATCCACTGGGGATGCAGCCCTGGGGTGGGTGCGAGCAGAGGCAGTGGCTGTCTCTCCCCACTGACCTGCCCACGTCGACGGTCTTGGCCCGAGCTCCTCCACTTGCACTGGCCCGGCGACTCCCGCTGGAGGACGAGGAGCCCAGGGAGTCCGAGGAAGAGCTGCTAATGCTGTCACTGTCTTGTCCTCGGCCCCAGGAGGTGGGGGCCCAGCCCCCTCGAAGTGGCCTCCGGCTTAAGGTAGGGGAGCTGTCTGATGTTGTTTCGGGGGCACTGCTGTCAATGCTGGCCATGCCTGACCCACAGACAAGTCGGTCTTAGGAAGGAGAAGCTCCAGGAGTCAGCCAGCAGGCATACTGGCTCATCCCAGGGGCTGTCATACCTGTGTGCTTCTTCTTGGGCCGCCCTGGGGACCCCCAACCACGTCCATTGTAGCCTCCACGACTGCCAAGTGCCAGGCGACTGGGGACCTTCCCTTCCGTCCTTGGGGTCAAAGCTGTCTCAGAGGGAAGACCCTCACAGGGGGAGTGGGGGGAATTCTCTGGAAGGGGAAATTAGGGCCCTGGCATGAGTTTATGGAAGACCCCAACATGATCAGGGAGTATTCACAACCCTCCCCGGTGCCCCCACCTCACCAGGCACATTCTTCTCCGTGAAGCCCTCCGTGGGGCCTGAGCCAGCCCCTGCCACACTCCCTGGCTGAGCAGGCCCTGAAGCACCTGAGGCCAGTGGCTGTAGGGACCCTGATGCAGCTGGGGCCCCATGCTTTGAAGGGGATCTCTGGCTGGCGGCAGCTGGGCGACTAGATGAGTAGAATGAACTCAATGTCTGCGGCTTGTGTGTCTGGCTTTCTCGATCCAAGAGTTTGTCTAAAATCTGGAGGACAAAGCAGTAGTGACAGAATTCCCTTTACCCTTTTGACCTCTATTGACCTAATTTTCTCCTTGAAGCAGCTTCACCACCTTCTCAGGAAGCCTACCCCAGTTTTAGCAACAAAGAACTTTCTGGAAGATAGGCTGGCTTGCCCACAAGGTATCCTCTATAACAAGTATAACAAGACTTAGTATACTGATAGTATACTGATACTCTATAAATACTGAAGTGAATGAATGAATGCCATACCCTTGGCTTCTTCCACCCCCGTACCCAAGCATTTCTATAAGAACCAATGGTCTTGTTCT